AATCATCTGGTCTCTCTGTAATCAAAGCTATACAACTTGGGTCAAGTTTGTAACAATGGTAAGAATCTCATGGCTATAGACATTCATTAGGACGCAAGTCTTAATCCAATTGATCAGGCATACACAAAGCTCGCAATCCCATCTTGACAGATCCTAATCATTACACCTTTCTAAAAGTAGAGCTTAAGATCCAAACCTAAATCGAATTAGTAACAATGATACAAAACTCAAGCCACATGGCCTTCCCAAAAATTTGAAGACGAAACCTCATAGATCAGGCTTGTATAAAGTGCATTTCATATAGATCAACAAAATCAATTAAGCAATCACATAGTCACCAACCAAATCCTAGTTAGAGCTTTCCTTTGGACATAAGCCGCAACCCAATAATACCAACCTCATTATCGGTGATCTATCTTGTAAACCCCTACCCAAATAACAAGACATGAATAAAGTTAGTAAGTCCAAGTCAAATCTTAATTATTAAGCCTCAATATAATAAGAATTATTATAATTAACCTTATATCGTGATGTGATATTAACCTTGTGCCCCATGGGCCTTCCTCTGGATGTAAGACGTAAGATAGATGATCTTGCATGCTAAAAACCAATAATTCTATCAAGTTAAGTCCTTATTTATGGCATTTCTGTAGCCAAATTTGTTAGACTCAATCTTAGATGAGTTCATAACAGCAATATGAACCTTGAGCCTTGTCAACAACATCAACAACGACAACAACAAGCCTTTATCTCACTATGTGTGGTCGGCTACACGAATTCTTTTTCTCTATTGTGTCCTGATAAGAGTCAAATTCTCATCTAAATCTAATAAAGAAAGGTCATTTCCAATATTTTCTAACCAAGTCTTTTTAGGTCTAACTCCATCTTTCTTAACATATGTCAAATCTAATACATCTACTTTCCTAACCATGTCATCGGAAGACCGCCGTTTTGTGTGACCAAACCATCAAAGGCAACTCTCTCTAATCTTATCTTCCACTGGAGCTACTCCAACCTTTTCACGTATATGCTCGTTTCGTATCCTATCTCTAAGAGTAAAGTCACTCATTCACCTGAGCTTCCTCATTTCTGCAACACTTAACTTAATATTATGCTTCTCTTTTAATGGCCAACATCCTGCACCATAAAACATTGCAAGTCTCACTACCATGTTATAGAATTTTCCCTTAAGTTTGAGAGGGACTTTTCTATCACACAACAAGCCTGATGCATTCCTCCACTTCAACAATCCAACCTGAACTCTACTAATAATATCCCCATCTATTTCATCATCACTCTGAACAATTGACCCAAGATATCTAAAACGCGTCCTCTTATTAATAACTTGATCACTCAAAGTCACAATTCCCACTAGATCTATTATTACTAAAATCACACTTAATATATTCAGTTTTAGATCTACTCAAACGAGACCGGACACGACCAGAAGAAGAAGAGGTTCACGGTTCGACCGGTCAAACTGGGGTCGAACCGGATGATGTAATAAATAATAAAACTAATAAAAACTATAAAATGAACGAGAAATTTTCCTACAATAACATCATTCCACATTTCATTATTATATCAAAGTAATCAAAGAATATAAATATTGCATCAATTCAATTTATAAAACATAAAAAATAACACAATATAAATATAGTATCAAGTAAGTCCATAAATATAAGTTCATAAATAAGTAAATAACTCAACAAACGAGAAATTTTTTAGAAATGCATATCTTTTGTTGAGCTCTATTGTGTGTTGGGTAAATAACTCAACAAATGAGAAAATAAGTAAATAACTCAACAGTAACCGTTGCACTCACTAATAGTCTTTCACGACCACAATGAGCTCTATCTCGATGATTTAAAGTAAACAAAGAATCCATGGTTGAGTAAAGAGAGCGGATGTGAGATTTACCTTAAGGAAATGCACGTTATAGGTTGCTAGTGGGGAAGTTGGAAGCCTACGACTCTGCGAGGGAGATAGCGATGCTACTGTATAGTCTTGAATCCTGAGAACCGGAGCGATGGAAAATTAAAAGAAAAACGTCACCAACCTTACATGTACTTTGATTTGAGGGGAAAAAATTTACTGATTTTAATGGCTACTGCTTGCAAACGAAAAAAAATACTGATTTTGATTTTAATGGCTATTGATTGCAAACGAAATCAAGCAATAATAAGCATAGATTTAAGAACCTGCGTCGAGAGTTCCGAGCTCGACGAGTCGGGTAAGCGGCCAAAGGTAGCTTCCATTTTCCCCAAATGAACTGGCACGGTCGCAGTGGAGTCGCGTATGGCGTGCTCCAGAGGCTGGGCGATCGAAGTAGGCCTGTTGGATGGACCAATGAAGGGTGACTGGATGGAGGAATCGCATATAGAGTATGCTTAGGGCAGACGACTAGACGAGCGAATAATTGTATAATATCGATCTCTAATGCATACGAGTCATTTGATCGCATATAGAGGGCTCATATTAGATATTTTAAGAATTGTTCGGTTCTTCAAAAATCACCCGGTTCAATCGGGTTTTTGACTAGTTTTTATCCGGTTTTCAGTCCAGCCAGTTGTTGTAGCTAACCGGACCGATTCACGATTGAACCGGTCGAACCGGCCGATCCGGTCCGATTTTGACCATGCTTTAGACTCTAAGGTTGATCTCCATAATTCAAGTTTACCTTCAATTACCTCTCTAGTCTTATCAACAAGAAGAAAATCATCAACAAAAATCATACACCAGGGTACAACCTCTTGCAAATGTCTAGTGAGAACATGCGTGACTAAAGCAAGAAGATATGGGCTTAAGGCTGATCGGCCTGATCCTTGATGTAATCCAACTGAAATAGGAAAATACTTGGTCAACCCACCTTGTGTTTGTACACAAGTAACAACTCCTGCATGCATATCTCTAATGACTTGAATATAAGAATTATTAACCCTTTTTTTATGTAGAACTCTCCATAACATTTCTCTTGGAACTTTATCCTGTGTTTTCTCTAAATCAATAAAAATCAATATAACCTTGAGCCTCGTTGTTCTTCCAATATTATATGACCCGACATTATAGATCAGGCTTGTATAAATTAATTTGGTATAGGAATCTTCAAAACATATTAACCTGACAAAAGCCACAATCTACTAGAGGCCAATTTGAACAAGGCAAACTTTACATGTGAATGCAAGGACATAAACTAAAATGGGCTAGCTCATAACTAATTAATCCCCCCAATGATTAGCCAAGTTTCCACATTAGTGATGCCAATCACCTTAGGACAAGCTTTCATGGTTCCAAAGCCTAGTGCCTAGTCTATTTACCTCAAATTAGTTATTTGAGGATATATTCAATAAAATCAATTTTTGGGAAGGTTTATTTTGTTTTCCCTACTGTCAAATCAAATGGGCCTTCCTTTTAGCATTTTTAATCAAATTTGAATTGCTCCTACATGTGGTCATCAAGTTCTTTCAATTGGACTAGCTCTGAGTTAAGATGTCCGCTGAAACAATTGGGTGGGTGGCTGAGTATCAAGCTTGTAAGTCTAACCAAATGAGCTGGCATTGATCTACCAATCTTTAATATTGCTTGCTTGCGTGAACTTGACATTCACTAAGCAAATCTCCATCCCACACTATTTAGAAGGTACCTCTTTTAAATGAGCTAAAATCAAGTCCGGATCTTGAGCATAACTTACAACAGCTTTTCTTTTAGGGCAATTTGTAGATTCAAAGCAAATCCCTTAACCACGTATTTTTTATTGCCTCACATAGCAAGGGATTGATCCTTAAAGGATACCTATTGACTTAAATGTTCCATATGGACTATTAACTTCATTATGAAGAGTGCCTTCACAGTATGAATTCCTTTAAAAAAAAGTATGCTTAAGACTTTCCCCTTTCAAGGTAAGTTGGATGTTACTCTTGGATGACTAAATTAATTTTTCCTTGCATGTAAAGCTATCATCAATCAATTTTTAGTATATCATAACTACTATTGGCATACTATGTGCCTTTGAGTCACTTCAGCATGAATAATCCATTTGATGTATCTTGTCAGTCATGCCTAGTACATTTGAACCATGATTGGCAATATTTTATGCCTTCAAGCCTTTACAATCAAATAGAATTTTGGAAATATTATGTGAGGATTCCTCCTTTGGTGTATCGCTACCTCAAGCATGTTTGTGATATCTGAGTAGAGGCAACTCATTGATGCAAATTATTTTCCGTGAACATTTTAGCATATGAAATCATTTTACTTTTGTAGGCCAGTTCATCAGGAAATCCAAGATGATAAATTCACGAGATTTTGATTGACTAAACTTTTCATCCTTTCTATGTCGACAATTTTGACCTAGAGAACAGTAAATTTCTTTTATCAAGGGTATTCTTTGTCTATGTGAAAATTTAATTGATCATGGGGGCTTGCACTTACGAGAAACCTTTATTCCTCATATATTAACCTTGGCTATTTGTAAGGGGAAGTCTCTTGACAATTGTAAGGCAATCTACCCTTTGAACCCCTCTCGATAAAGTTCAGTCAAATTGAATCAACATGCTCACTTTTTCTGGGCAAGTATTCAAAAGTTCAGGCTTGATTAATTCTAGGGAAAATCTCAATCTTTCTTTGCTTATCAGTTCAATGCTCTGGTTCTATAGTAATTCGCATTCATGAATTTAGGCCTGCTTTTGTTGGGCTAGTATTCAATTTTATGTAACCTGAAAGAAGTAAATATGTCTTCGTTAATTTATATATTTCACTTTTTCCATTTTCTTCCATAATTGTATCAACTTTTCTGTTTTGAGCGTTCATGTTAAATCTCTTTCATCTATTTTTTAATATATTGGAATTGAAGTTACCTTTTTTATCCTCCTTCATTCTTTGGTTTTCATTTCTGAAATTTTCATCCTTGAGCTCTTAGTTATTTCTAGACGTCCTTTGTTTATGAGACAAATTTGGCACTTGTAAACAATGTTTAGATCTCATTAAGTATCTTTTTTCAGAAAGTTAGCATCCAGGAGAAGGTAGACGTCATAATTTCAGAATGGATGGGATATATGCTTCTGTATGAGGTGCACTTCAATTCTCCTAATAAGAGTATAGTGGAATGTCATGTAACTGAGATAATCAATTCAATACTTAGGAATTCTTGTCCCTATAAATGCCTGAAACTCTAACGCTATATTTTTGCATATTTAGAGCATGCTGAGCAGTGTGATTTTTGCAAGGGATAATTGGCTCAAACAAGGAGGGTTGATCCTTCCTTCACATGCAACAGTAATGTTTTGCTACTGAATATTTATTTCTTTCTTTGTATTGTACTTTCTGAAGTAGGTAAATTTTTACTTGTAATCTGCCAGCTACTCACATTCAGAGAATTTTTTTATCCTATTAATTGGCAATTATGGTAGATGATTTTTATGCTGAATACTCTTCTTTTCTTGCAGCTGTATATGGCTCCTATTACTCACAGCGAAAGATACTCTGACAGCATAGATTTCTGGCGTGATGTCTATGGAATTGATAGTGCGTAAACCAGTGACTCACTTATTTAAGAAGCCACAAATTTATTTGCATTATATTTGGAAGTTGTGGAAAGAGATGAGCGAGTTTATTCTATTATCATTGTTACTGTAGATTTCAGAAGCAAACATACAACAATATGGGGAAAAATAAATTGAATGGAATGATGTTGTAATCCAAGCTGAATCTTGAAGTAAATAGTAGCATCATGGCTATTAGGTTGCATTTTTAAACTTGCTTCACTAGCAAATGCGCTTATGTGGAAGGATCTATGAGAATATAAACTTAAAATTATGTGAAGATGATAAATAAGGAGTATTTGAATATGGGAATCACAAAATTTATTATTTTCTTCAAATTGCTGATCAATTTCTCTTGATAATCAGTGTCTGTGATGCTCCCACTTGCAAAACAGTGTGCGTTTGAAGAGCCTTCTATTGAGACAATTTCAGCTGAGAATGTCCTGACATGGCCATTTGTTGTGAGTTCCTCATATTATGCAGCTTTAAAAACTTTTTGTTAAATATTTCTCTTTTATGAGTTTTAATGCTTGCAGCTATTCTAGTAATATTGCACCAGTAAGTTGCTCTCCATGCCAAGTATTTTTCTTTTCTGCTTAAATATCAATAAAATGTTGATCTTATACACGAATAAAGCATTTCTGATTTATGTAATTTGCATCATTTCTATCAAAAATTGAAAAGCTGCAGCGGCAAAATTGTCATCTCAGTTCCTGTGACAATTGAAATTGCGAAATTCCCAACTGTTTTAATTTGGAAGCATGGTGAAAATATTTTTTAGTGCATCCAACACTTTTTGGGGCGTGAATGAGGTGTTGCTTGTATAGCTTGTATATTTGTACGGCATTCACCCTGCATGGAGTGGGAGTTGAGGGAGTATTTCTTGTGACAATTTTAGTAGTTTTCATTCTTCCAAGACATCAAACGATTAGCTGATTAAGATTATAACTTAAAAAGAAATGTATGTGGGAGGCGACTGGGAGTTGGGGGAGCATTTATTGCTTTTTACAAGTCATTTGAATCTTTAAGCTTGGGGTTCGAGTACTATGATGCACAATTACATTCCGATAATGAAGAAATAATGATGTATAGAATGATGAAAGCAAATGTATTGAGTAATAATAATAGGTTTAATAATGAGTCTTACTTTACTATCTTAAGTAATGTTTTCTGTATGCCCTGAACTCCTTATCCCTATAACAAAAATTCAACAGGGTGACTGGACACTCTCAAATGGTGAGTGGATCTTTCATGCGGTCCTGCCTGATGGATTTGTGCTCATACATATGGCTCAGTTTTGTCTCATGGCTTCAATTCCCTTATTAGAGATCAAATCCTACCATGCATGGTGACCCATTAATTTCAATTGAGACTCTTATACCAACTAATAAAATTAATGTTGTTAAACTGGGTTCACTCTTAAGCAAGGCAAGGCAGAGCTATTTACTTCTCACACCTGTCAAGTTTGTGTCGTTTCTAATTTATTGCTTACATGAGCACCTTGACCTGAGGCACTAGGAACTGAGGCAATTGCCTTTCCATAATTATAAAGATAAGTTATAATAGTAATTTATAATAGTTGAAATAGCAAAGGATGAATTAATTTTTCATGATTACAATTTCATAGGGGGCGATGACATGAATGGGCAAGTTCATAACTAGTAGGTGAAAGAAAGGGCACATTCAAAAATAAGTTGGATCAAAGGTGGGAGCAAGAGTTCTTGATCTTTATGGTGGAAAAATAATAAGTTGAGGAGATAAAGAAAAGATTTCTGGGGTTAACAATCTAGTGCGGAAGTGGGGAGAATGGATGATGATGAAGATGGAATGGATGATAGTTGAGATTTGATTAGCCTTGAGCTAAGGGTATCATTAAGTCGAGCTAAATTAAGTTAGGCTTGGTTCAAACTCGTAGTTTTTAGCTCAATTTTACTTGAAAGAACTTGAACTTGAATTGCTTTTCGAATGAACTTACTTGACTTGAATTGAATCAATTTTTACAACTCAAAATCTGAGACTCAAAATCTGTTCAAATTGTCTCAGATTTTAATTCATGAATGTTATGATATTATTTTCACTCGATATAGGATCCAAATGAACTTGAAATGAATCCAAATTAACTAACATGTAAAAATATTATTATATTTATCTTTTCTCATAATTTTTTTATAGAAATAACTTAGAATTATGTGTGTGTTTGCGTGTATATGATATAGTGATATATAATTCAAGTTGATTCAAATCATATTTCAAATGTGTATGCCTAGGCTCAACATTAGATTAGTTTTTTTTTATCCATAAATTCTGCTTGTGAATCCACTTGAAATCACGTTGATTTTTTAATTGATTCAAAATTCTAGTGACTTTTTGTGCAATCTCTAATTTTTTGCTAATATTACCATCTTTACCTTAAATTATGCACACTTCCAACTTATATTTTACCATTCAAGCTATCATAAATCCTGTGTCCTACCAACTGCCCCTGCCTGTCAAAAGTAAAATTCACTCAGTCTTCTATATTTCTCTTAAACCTTTTAAAGGCACTCCAACAAACACTACTCTTCCCAATTTAATCTGAACAATCAATCCATTCTTCCATATGCAATTTTAGCTTTGCGTACCATACAACTGCATGGCCAAACTCACTGCAGGTTATCTTACAGTGAAAACTCTCTCTTCTGAATGATGGCACTTGGGAAAAATTTTCAGCTATTTTGGCTTATTTTTTATCTCTCAACTTTGAGGACAAGTTTATTTTCCATGCAGATGTGAGTGTTAAGTAGCAACACATTATCTTGAAATCGAATATAGTGCAGTAACATTGTCAAGAATGGGTGAATAATTCAAAAATTCAGCACCAAGATGATACAAAATTTCAAGTTTATCATAGAAGAAGGATAATAAGGCCCTACAAGTAAAAGATTGCAAGCAACAAGCCAACTGCAATAGCCCTTGGTTTATGTTATTTCAGCATTAAACCAACCCTCAAAACCATTTTAGTTATTTATTATTAATTGTATTAAACGAGCTGGTCTAACTCTTTATTAGATCCAAATCGGTTTATGCAAATACTATAAATAGATCCCTACGGTTGGAATTTTAATTCAGGAAATAAGATTTATGTTTTTTTCTTTTTCTAGTCTCTCTTCTTCCTTAAGGAGTCCACACCTACTCAAAAGGTGTCTTCCTCTTTTTGATGTATATCAAGAAGCTTAACACTATATAAGTTATTTAAACATATATTTTTGTTATTTTTTAAAAATGTATTTAGAAAGGTTTCAGATCCTAGAATGCAATTTATCTTAGAAGTTTATAATTTTAACTATTATCAATTAAAATGATGATTGTCCTTTTATACTCTTTACCATTACTTATACTTGAGATATACTCTCAAGTTGAATTTTCGTTTTAGTGTTTATTTAGCATGCCTTATGCTTTTCTACTAACATCTTTCAAAAATTATATTTTTTTTGGAGAAAAATTTTGATAATACCCCTAACATTTTTCATAAATTATATTTTTTTTCCCGCAATAGTTTGATAATTATTTTTGCAAATAGCTGAAGCTATCCCAAATGGGTCCAAGTGTTAAAACTAAAAGAAAATTCCTTATTGCAATTTTTTTTTATTTTCTTGTATATTCTTGAAAGAATAATTTAAATTACATGATTGCACATCACTTTATTAAAGCATTTGTCTGTTTCATTTTTCAGCGCTCATAGAATTTTGAGTATATTAATCTTACAAACAGTTGAAGTTTCCCATATGGGTTGCAAGTGTTAGAACTAAAACTAAATTTTTCATGACAATTTTAGGTTTTTGCTTTCTTGTCTAGTGATTTTACCATAGATGCGATTCTTGAAGAAATAGTTTAAATTACATAGTTGCACTTTATTAAAGCATTTATCTTTGTTTCATTTTTCAATGACAACTCTTTGATTACATTGATCTTGTTCAGGAAGAACAAAAAAGTTCTTGCTTCAACTTTGTGTGTGCATGCATCCATGCATGAACGTATCTGTAAGATAGCTTTGTGGCAAAGAATTTATTGAAGGGTGCACCCCATCTTCTCAGTCCTACCTGGAGATTTAAAAGTCATATAGTGTCATGTAGGTCCTCGTTAAGTTAGATATTTGTTTCCCCAAATAATTTTTGAATTATATTATTTAGTCTTCTGCTGGCCCCTATATTTTCATTTGTCTTTATGTGATGGTGATCTTTAAATTGTAAATTTTTCATGAGAAGCTTTACTTAATTTCTTTCTTGAGTACTGATCTTGAACCTGTCATTCACTTCACTGGAGTAGTGAACTAGCTTGTGCTTTGATATATGCATAGCTCTTCGATAGCATTGTTCATGCTTAGAAAGGTTCAAAAGGTTGTTGCTTATTAGTTTGTCAATTCTAATACCAAATTTAAAAAAAGAAAAAAAATGATTGTGTGGATTTCATGAACAGGTTAAGTTTGTAGATTGCTACACAGTGACAGCTCGTGAGCTTGAATCTATCACTACAAAGTATAATTTGACATCTATGTTGCGAGGTAAGATGTTCTCATATTAAAATTTTAGTCTTATTTATTGTTAACCCCTTTTTTTGGATCATGCTTCTCTTGCAAGTTCTGCAATGATATTTATACAGATTCTCTAGCGGGAGTTTTCATTTATCATCTATATATAGGGCAATAAGCCTCAGACGTGGATCATGATCAAATTTGTGATATAAGTACAATTTTTAATTACCCTTTTCATCATTAGAACAAGTTAGTTTTTACCTCTATATAACTTTTTAGTGTTATTTTTGGTTGTCAGTGGTTTATTAACTTAGTTATCTTACATGGATAGGGCCTCTTAAGTTGAGGTTGGAGTGTGTTTTTGTAGTTTTGTAGCTCACTTATAGTTGTGCCAGTGGCACATTATCGTCCGAGCACACTCGCTTCTCGCTCTCACTTTCACTCGCTCACTTTTTTTTTTTTTTTGCATCATATTTTATCTCTCTCCTCACACTTATTGGCTTCAGTAATTGGTGTGTTCCTGCCTCAACTTCACCAGGACGTTGTCCTTTTTTCTGCTCGTAGACCTCAGCATTGGTAATTCAACACCATCGATCACATGTTGATTGATGATCCTTGTTATGATGCCCCGACATATGTCATCTCCTCTGATCTCAATGCTCTGTTTTATTAACCTTTGTTGCTTCTATTGTGACCCCACTTCCAATGAAATTGGTGCCCTGTTTTCATCCACAGTAGAGATCATTTATGGAGGATACTCTGTAGTTGTAAATCTTTTTATTCTTCTTCCTCTTGAAATATATTTGATTTTTCTCTTGTCATGTAAAAGAATTGAGAAGAGTAGAAAAGTGGCACCTATTGATTGTAGAAACTTAGACGAAGTTCTTGATGTTTTACTCTATTGTGAGTTGGATATTGTATGAGTGGACAGTCACTTTGGGCTGCATTCCTCTTGTGACTGGAAAGAGAGAGAAATGATTAATCAATATTTCCTGAAAAATGATGAGAGGAATCGATGAGCAGTGTAGAGGAGAGAAAGAGGAGATAGGCAATCAATGGAATATTTGATTTGTTTCAATTCAAGATAATGAAATAACATCAGCCTAATGCTATTTATAGAAATAGGGTTTATAATTTAAATTGAAAATTAATTTTGACATCTAATCTAAATTGAACCATATCATCTTAATTCAAATTTAAAATAAACATCACGTAAATGTTGGCTCTATCGTAATGGAGAACATCTTTCTGATAAATAAAGGTTGAGCAAATAGAATACTGACATCATCCTTAGAATAACTACCCAACTGATTCGGTTCACGCCATGTTTCAATGATAGTTAGAGATATCTTGTCAACCCATACAACATTGAAAGAGCTTGAAGGTGTCTCTTCTTTCAGATTGCATCTAATTAATGTCTTTTCATACTCTCTTCATAGTGCTTCCACCAATTATGACTAACTTGCATCTGCTGCTATTTGTAAGAAGCATTTGTATGAAATATTCAACTTTTCTTTCAATCTTCATCCTTGTGAGATCTAGTGACATTCATCTTGCAACAGCTAAATGTCATCATATTTAATTATTTATCATAGTTTATCTACTCGTCTCTTGAACATGGGTTATTATCTTCCACATCCTAGGATGAACCATCACATATATTTTCCTCGTGCACTACATGCTCAATTGCCAAAGAATTATGAGGGTATCGAGATGTAAAGTGACCCTTAGAGAGGATTGTATAGAAGGCAGTATAATAGTTATCATGTTTTCTGCTAGTGATGCAATAAAAAAAAGATCACAAAATTACATAAATTAGGTCTTTCTTTCAAAATAAGAAAATACATAAATTAAGACACAAACACTTAAATTTTAAATCATGACATGACACAACTAAAAACAATTCTAAAAAAGCTTGCATTTCTTGATTGAGAAGAAAGATATAAATGAGGTGGACACTTGCGGAGAGAAGAAATAGATAAAAAGCCCGAGACAAAGTCAAAGAGAGGAGAAGAGAAAGGGGGACAAGAGCTAGGCGGAAACCAAATAGGCAGCCAAGGGGAAGGAACCAGCCATGGGACAGGAGCCAGGTGGAAACCAAACAGGCAGCAGAGAGGGGGAGGAAGGAATGAACCTGATTTGGCATTAATTACCCATTAATGAGCTGATTTTAGAAGAAGAAAACATCAGCTCACCAAAGGGGAAGCCCAAATATCAACCCCCCTTTGCCTACATCAGTTGGTCTAAGCTTGATGACTGAATCATGAACCCGCATTTTGTCATGATGAATCATTGAGCAATCAGCATGTTGTATTTTTCTTAGTGGTGCTAATTCTTTTGCTAGTTCATCAAGACATAGCTCCTTAAATTCATATTACAATTGGTTAGCATCCTCATGCACTAATATGCTCTGTCATATATCTATTCTACTCGATGGCTATCAAGGCATAAATTACTTTATCAACTCTACTATCCCTTGCAAAAGCATTTTAGCTCAAGATAAGCAAATGTTTTTCTTTTGTTTTTTGTTTTTTTTTTTTTTTTTTTTTTTTTTTTTTTTTTTTTTTTTTTGTTATTTGTTTTTCTTTTCTTTTTTTTTTCATTAGGAGCATTTGATTTTATGGCATAGTGACTCTTAAACTTGATAGGTTTCAAAATTACCCTCCTTAGATTTACCTTAGATGCATTAGTATTTGGCTTCCTAAAGTGTAACATCTAAATCATCCTACTTATATATATATATATATAGCAAATGATGCATAATTTTGATTGTGCTCATGTTTTGCATGCAGATTATAAGAAATTTATTTTCTTTAATTTTCTATACTCTGGATACCAACCTTGATTATTTATTTATTTATTTATTGTTCTAAGTGGAAGTTAACCTTTCTCTTCTTTAAATGGAAGCTCCTCTCCATGGATTTGCTTTCTGGTTCGATGCTGAGTTCAATGGTCCTTCAACGTTCCCTTCCAACAACAATTTACTCTCTGGGAGTTCAACTTCCGACTTGTATTCTAACGTTTATAATAATCAGAGGAGGCAAAAAGCCAAATCTGATCAAGTGCTTATGCTTTCCACTGCACCAGAGGACGAACCAACTCATTGGCAACAGGCATGCTTTATCTCATCCTTTTTCAGACTGGATTCTTATTTTCCAATCCTCTTTACCATTCTGAATACCATGGATTTACATACATACCACTGAATTTTTTATGGATTTACATATCTGATCTCCATATCTTTATATTTTTGTAGATAATATTCTAATTTTTTAAATGAATTCAACATATATACATGAAATTATATTTTTTTTATTTGGAATAAATGTATATTAGTTATATTTGTAATATCATTTAGAAATTAAGCTGTTAGAAAGTAAATATATAAATTTAAGTGACATTCCTTCAATTTTCTGACATTTCAGACCATACTGTACTTGTATGAACCGATAGAGGTCATACAAGATCAAACAATTGAAGGTTCCATTACACTCTCTCAAAGTAGGGAGAACCCACGCTTCCTGAATATTCACCTTGAGTACAGGTAAGCAAGAGCTTATGAACATTGAGATTAAGACTTCGTTTGGGACGGCTTTTTTGTTGCTTCTTAAAACAGTTTTTTATAAAAAAATTAAAATTTTTATATTATAAAGCTGCTTTAAGAAGCAACAAGAAAGTCGTTTCAACGAAGCCTAAAAATCCATGGGATACTTCTTTCTAATCAATCTCTCTCTTCTTTTGTTATTTTGTAATGTCTAAACAGTTCAGGAGGTCGGTCTTTCATAAAGGAGTCTATCATGCGATGATTTAGGCCTTGCAGATGCCATTATTAGAGGTTAGTTTCAGCAATGACTTTACTCTGCAAGTCTGAACCATTCTTCATGTTTAAACTTCTATAAGAGGGAGAATTTTGTTGGTCTTTTGAAGAATTTTCTTCTTATCAATTGCTGAACATATTTTGCATGCCATCTTCCTATGACCATATATGGTGTTTTTTCCTTATGTTGTAGATGTTATTTTAGTAATTTTAACCCATAATATTTAGATTATGATGGAGATAACTTACATGTTTGGGGCAAAATTTATTTAACATATTGTTCATAATTTTTTTTATCGGCTTTAATTTTTAATTGTTTTTTATTTAGATTTTTGTGGTGAGGAGTCTAATAGGGATAAGGAATTGAAGATTGAAGGACCAAAATGATTCTTGATTACTTAAAAGTTTTATTTTAATTCCATAATTTTTTTAAATGGATCCTAAATGATCTCATGGAAGGATTACTTTAGTCTCTATTTAAAGAGTTAAAAAATAAATTGAGTGTTTTTTATATTGTTGGAGATTATTTTAATTTTTGAAATAAAATTTGGGGGGCTAATCTGTCCTTTTCAAAATCAGAATATGATAACTATAAAAAATATTTAATTTTTTAAGAAAATGCAATTCAACATGATCTGTGGTTAAGAGTTTTGGCTATCAACTAAGAGGTCTTGGGTTCAAGACTTGTATATGTATTGTGTTTGTGAGTTGCCTTAATTGGCCTAATGTCCATTAAAAAAATTTCAAAATTTATTCGAAGATTATTTGAAATATATTTTTAGTAGATATTGAGAAGATGGTTTTTAGTCAAATATAACTTCATTTCAAGTTCATTAGGCGTTGAGGTATTAGAACAAATGACTATTCATCATTCTTATACAAATAATCAATCAGTTTATCATTTCTATACATTTATAACACTTTCTAAAAAAGGAACGAAGGTATAGAAAATTTCAATAATCGAATTCTTTGCAAGTTTGGTTAGGGATCATTGCATTATCTCTAACTTAGGTAAAACTCAATAATAATGGACTATATAGGTATGAATAAGTCAAGCGGAGCTTAAGTCGCTCCTAGTTTGAGCTTGAGTTCAAGTTTAAGCTCCGGCTTTGCTTTGATCTACTCTAAGAGTTAGCTCAAGAGATTGTTAAAATAAAAAATTTGGAATTAGAAGGTAAATAAGAAATAATAATTTTATATGGGAAAGTGAGATATAATTTGATAAGTTTATATTCAAACTTATGTTAATATGTTTTCAGTTTATTTTATTTTTATATTTTTTTTAAACAAGTTCGCTCATGAGATAACAAGTTGAGTTATGGTTGATATAAATTTGATTTATTTAGTTGAGCTCAAGTTAGATTGCAAGTCTGCTTGATATGCTAACACTATTGGTATGCTCAATTTAAATTTTTAGTATAAGAGTGATTTAAATTTGGATTAATTTTATTGTTACAAAAATAACAACAGTAACAAACCTTTATTTAACTGTGGAGTTGGTTACATGAATCTTTTTTCTCCATCGTGTTCTATTAAGAATCAAACTCTCATCTAAATTTAATAAGGAAATGTTATTTCTAATATTTTTTTAACTAAGTATTTTTAGGTCTATCTCTATCTTTCTTAACATAAGTCAAATCTAATGCATCTACTTTTCTAATCGGGTTATCGGAAGGTTGTCATTTTATGTGACCAAACAATCTAAAGTGACTCGCTTTAATTTTATCTTCCATTGGAGCTACTCCAACCTTTCATGTAGTTGCTCATTTTGTATCCTGTCTTTAAGAGAAGCCATTCATAGCATCCTCATCTCTGCAACACTTAATTTTAATATTATGCTTCTCTTTTAAAGGCCAACATTTTACATCATAAAACATTGCAGGTCTCACTTCCATCTTATAGAATTTTCCCTTCATTTTATTGATATACTATCAAAATTTTCATTAAATTAATTATAATTTTTTGCAATAATTTTTAAATCTCAAAATATACAAATAACCTTTGAATAAAATTTTCATAAATAAGTTATGAGATCATTTGAATTTTAATTTTTATGAATTTTTAATTGAGAGGATACACTTCAATGACAAATCTAATAATGATAAAAAAAAATTAAGTTCTCTTTATAATCATTATTTTTATTCTTATTGCACATCTTTAAATAATATTTTTGTAAATATAATCACAACAACAACTACTACGTTAAGCATTTGTCTCACTAAATGGGGTCCTATATGGGGTCGGTGACATAATTCTTCTTTTCTCCATTATGACCTTAAAAGTCAAATTCTCATTGAAATTTAATAAAGAAAATATCATTATTAATATTTTCTAAGTCTTTTTAGGTCTACGTCTACCTTTCTTAATCTTGGCATTGGACGGCCTCCGTTTCATGTGACCAAATCAACTAGGATAGCTCCCTCTAATCTTATGTTCCATTAGAGTTACTCCAACCTTCGTAAATATAATCACATTTAAAAAAAATCAGATATTAAATTATTTAAGAGTGGTTTCAATACACATTCAAAATTAATGTCATATCAAAAAAATTTCATATATTTAATTTTAATATTTAATTATATGACATTTAAATTATTAAATTATATTAATATTAATTTATTTAAAATAAAAAAAATTATTTTTATTTTAATATAGATATAATATAATATATCAATAAATATAAAATTTTCATCTATAAATATGAATGTATGTAAATGCTCCAAATTTTATCCCACCACATTTTATCGTAAACCCTTCCCCACTGAACTCCTTCAGAAATTCCTCGCTACCATTTGGTAGAGAAGATGATAGCGGTTCCAGCCTCGCGGAACTTCTCGCCGGCGGCGGCATTTTTTCGATCGTCCGGCGAGCTTTTCCTTCCACGGACGAAGTTCATGCCTGGTAAAACTCCCTCTTCGATTCGCTTCTCTCCCTGCACTTTTCCACGGAGAAGATTATTCAATCTTCAAGTTCGAGCCGCTAGGGCAGAATCCAGCGTCGCTTCTTTAGGCTCCAGAGCTCCGTATTTCGAGGTTATCTGCTTAGATCTATCATTTCCTTCTTCGATTACGTGAATGCGGTTTAATGTTCTTATTTTGACGTGTTTTCCTTTCAGCTTCCGGAGCCACTCACAGGGAAAGTATGGAAATTGGATGACTTCGATAGCTACCCTGCTTTGCTGGTGAAATGCCCTATTTATCTCGTCTGCATGCATTCATTAGGACAATTATTTGGTTTTTGGTCTTCTTGCTTTGTTATTAGGGCATGTTTGGCTACTCAAGTATGATTGTAAATGCTGGCATTTAAGATTAAAAAATTTTGAGAGGATTAAAATTTGAAAATTGCTTGGCAGAATTTTTCCTTTACAGAAAGGTGAATCATCTCTCTCAAATTCAGTCTACTAAACACAATATTCGATTTTCTGATATTCCTCAATTATGAATTCTACCAGCCTTCTTTTAGTTTCTCTCACCCATTACAATCTCTACTAGTATCTACACCTGTGGCTGATATTTTCACTCTTTTTACCAAAATATTCTTTTGAATAACAGTAAACTTGTATGACTCAGTAGGTGATGGATACGCTACGAACATAAACTGCAAGTTAGTTATTACTGTAATTTTACGAACAGCTATGAAAGATTTGGTTGTGAAAAACTCCTCAACCTTAAAATTTTTTAAAAAGTAGCAGAAAATTTAGTTAAATTGAAGTGTGAATGGTTCCTAAAATAAAATTAGGCAGAATTTTTAAAACTCTTATAAACTGATTTATTGTATTCCAAATCAATTTCCAACTCTTATAAACTGCAGCAGGATGGGCGAAGGGCTTTGGAGCTCTTCTACCATGGCCAGTTTGATGACTCGCGGCCTAACAGCAACATACCAGTCACAGGAAGGTATAATGCAAAGTTCCTTCTTAACAATTTTTACTTGCCAAATTATATGACTTACTGATTATTATAGTGAATTTAGGGATTTGAGCCTTGCAATAGATTCTGCTGTACTAAGTGCGCAGCCGTTAATAGCAGTTCAAAAACCCAGGTTAATCTTTTTTTCTGCTTACATTTTCTTTTACAAAAGCAAGACTGATCTAACCTGTCTATTTGTGTTGTTTTCTGTTTTCATTTCAGTGTTGGGTGTAGTATAAAGTGGCATCCTGATAAGAGAAAATAATTTAATAAATGGGATGAATAGCTTCTTCTTCTTCACCTCCGCAGCTGTTCCGAAGCCTAAGTCGTGCAATTGTTGTGAAAGAAATTTGAGTTCTCTTTTTTTTATTATTATTATTCAAAGAAACAACAGTATTTTAATAGCTATCATATTATAATAGATATGATTGTAAGAAAGTTATTTTCATTACAAAATGTAATAATATGAAAATTATAGTTAAACAAAAAAATGCCGCAAAAATTCATAAAATAAAATAAAAAAGTAAAAAAATTGTATCAAATGCGCTGAAAGTTGTGCCACGACTGTATGGCTATTGATCGGTTTGAGGATTAGAACACTATTCATCATTTCCTTTATTTTGATGTATTTTGAGTATGGCTCAGTTTTGTCTTTGATTAAAGTCTTTTTTTCCAGTTCCGGACAATATCCATATGTTGGCCAATTTATAATTATATCAATTAGTTAAAATTGAGTGTAGTATCAGCAGGCAAAATGGGGACATTTATCTAAAAGTAAACTATATTTTAAGTTGAATAAAACAATATTTTAAAAAACATAGTAAACCGATTCAACCCGTAAACCGGTCTAAGGCTGATGTACTTCATCTTTGAAAACTGATCGGCTTCAACTGCTTGTGAACCGGTCCTAGTATTTTAAAATCAGTTGGTTCAATTTTTTTTATTTTAGTAATTAAATAAATTTAAAATTTAATCAATTAAAATAAATATTATATATTAAAACTCTTAAATTAGTGTTAAAACTTGATTAAATATTACTTACAATATTTTCTCATGGTTTCATTACATCATACGAGTACCTATCATAAATAAAGGCAAAAAAATTTAAAAATTAATACTATAACAAGTGATGATTGATTAAATCACACAAACTAAAAAATTATTTTTGATTTAATAAATACATCATAAAAAGTAAAATATTTTTTTTTACTAATTTTTAATTAATTTTTATAATATGAAAAATACTTATTTTTTATTTGATAATATTTAATTACATTTTTTTTTCGTTTATTTTTCTTTATATATTTAATTTTTATAATTATAAATAATATTTATTTTTTTATTATTGAGAAATTTTATTTTTTTAGTTAATAATATTTTATTATTTATCTATTTAAATTTTAATATTTAAGTATGACTTTTACATAATAAATATTCTTAAATATGTAATATAAATTAAATTATTAAATATATGATTATTGTTATTATTTATATTTTATTAATTTTATATAATGACATTATTATTTATTCCATTATCGGTTGATTTAACTCCCTTTTGTTGCGATGCCTTTTTTCAAATTAATTTACCGACATAGCAAAAATTATTTTGCCAATTGGTTGACATAGTAGGAAGAGTTCTAGGGGTTCATATTAAATGGCATATTTTTCCAATTTAATTTATTGAAAAAATTTAATATTTAACAGATTTAATCTCATGCATAACTAAGATTTTTTAAATTACCACATCATCCGAACGATTTGAAAAAAAAAATTGTAAAAAATTTTTAAAACATAACGAAGCGTACAATTCCAATTATATGTTTAAAAATAAAAAAGCCAATTATTATGCTTTTTACAATCATAATAAAAAATTTTTCAAAAAAAGGAGTAACGCGCCTGACAATTCATTTCAATCTTCGTAAGGTTGAATTATCTCACATTGGGCCAAAAATCTTTAATCATTAAGATTCCGAAAATTGCCATTTTTTTTTTTAATTTAAGTTTTGTTGGGAGAATTTTAGACCACAAATTTTTTTTTAAACCAAAAAAAAATATATATTCTAAAAACAATTATTATTAAAGCAGGAAGAAAATCATTTCAAATAAAGCTTAGTGGATTTCTTAATTCATTTAGGGGTTGAGCGAATATGAGGTGATCATCTTGATTTTTTTGCTCAAGAAAAATTAATATATAATATATATATTATACTAATATATATTATATATATATATATGTATATTTAAAATATTGTAAAATTAATATATAACTTTATATAATTTGCCTCCCAATAAAATGTCGAATTTTTTGGGTTCACTTGTTCGAACAATATTAAAAGCTCAATATTATTTACTTTGGTGTTTGTTGCCTCAATTTTCGAGCTAACAAGTCATCCATCCTAAGACTGAAATATAATTAATTATAAGTAAGAAATTGCATACCTAATCCAACTGTGGTCGGGTGGGCATCCTTCATGTTTGGTATTGAAGCTCTTCAGATTTTTTTCGAAAATGGTTTTGCAGTCAAGGAAGGATTACTGCAATCACTCAGATTAATTTAAATGTGAAGACAGGTGTTGTTAGAGCATTTCAGGAGATTCGCAGCTATCAACATATTGGATATGCTTAGCATGGATGAACAGCTGAAGCTTTTAAGCTTTTTGAGAAGATGAAGAAGGGCAGAGCCATACCAGATGAGAATGAAATCACTTTTCCAGCCATGATGGATTAGTTCATCAAGTCTTGAGCCCAATTTTCTTCTTTGTGCTTCTGGTTATTCAACATCAACATATCCCATAGTAAATAAACATAATAATCGACAAAACTTGTTTCTTTTGCTTTATATACTCTCCTAAATGAGCCACTAAAATACACCCAAAATAGCCACCATGAAGGAAAGTCAAAACATTATTTATAGGAATCAACAAGAAGCAAAAGACGAGCAGCCAACAGCAAGGAAACCGAAATCCAACAGGAAAACAGTGATCCAGCAAGTAAAATCAAAGGGCCAACAGAAAATTGAGGAGCTAACAGCAGGAAACGAACAGCCACAAGAGGAAAAGAGCTTGAAACACAAGTGAAAAATAAAGAAAACATAAAATAGCTAACCTTGATTGCATCAATTATCATGCACTTTTAAAAGTGTACTCTGAAATTGAAACAAGGGAGATTGTCCTCAAAGATTCAATTAGATATCATCATTTTGAATGTGGTTTGTATTTTTGTTGGTATTTCTGGTTATCTTCAAATGACAAATGTGCTTTCAGGGGTGTCAATATTTGACAAGACCCGAAAACCCGACTTGAACCCGACCCGAAAATTTTGGGTTAGGGTCAACCTGAACCCGAAACGGGTCGGGTTCGGGTTAACCCTTTGAACCGAAATTAACCCGAAAGTGACCCGATTTTGACCCGAAAAGAGGAGATTGACCCGTTTTTTACCCGAAAATTAGCAATTTTTAGATTGAAAACGGGTCATTCGGGTCGGGACGGGTCGGGTTGACCCGGACCCGAAGCGGGTTGGGTTCGGGTCCAGGAAACCGACCCGTTTTTAAAAACGGGTCGGTTCGGGTTGACCCGAATAGTGCCGGATAGGTTTCGGGTTCGACCCGAACCCGACCCGTGACCCGAAATTTACACCCCTATGTGCTTTCAATCAAAAATCATAATTCCATCAGCAACTTAAACTTTATAGACTTGGATGCAATTCTATCACCCCGTTTGTTGCTTTGAACATTCTCTTTAAAAACCTTGCACAAAATAAGTAAACAAGGACAACTTTATCAAGTGTTTCATCTCCCCGATAGGTTCTTGCATAGGGAGCAGTTTCAAACTTTTTTACTTGCTCATTAGTAGTGACTCTATTAGTCGCCTACAAAGGTTGGCTAGCCTCTTGCTTAACTAATTAAAGATGCATTCAAGAAATATTTTTCTAATTTTAATCCAAGTCACAAACTATTATATTTTCTTCCTTTAAAGTTTGGCCAATTTTAAATAAGCAATAAAATATTACTTCAGAAACGAACTCGCTAACAATTCCCCTAATATATTGAATTGCTAAGGCCATTTCAGATGAATTCCCGAGTAAATCATGTTATTGAATTCCTCCTGACAAACTATCGGAGTACAGCGGAAATAAGATTAAATGGTACAAAACTACACTCCGAATTTTTCATTATAAAATATTCTGTTTGAAAAGGAAAAATAAGACTAAAAAAAATTGAAACTTTCTTCTAATTATTATATTGACCTTTTATTGTTACTTCGATTCACAGAAACTGCACCGAAGTTTGAGTTTCCCTCCCCCCAAAGACATTTAGCTGCAAGTAAAGTACTCAAAATTTGGGATTTACAAAAACTATATATTATTCAGATCAAACTAATTCTATTTTAATTAGTAAAGGCTTCTAACACTAATGCACAGACGAACAAGCCAGCCATCCTTTTTCCCCTCAAAAATAATGCCTAAACAACCATAAAAAAAAGAAATATTCATTTAAAGAATTTGAAATGGATTCAAAATAGTATTATTTATATGCTTACAATCACACAAAATGATTATTGAGCAGAAGGAAAATGATTGATAAATTTGAATATTTATCCAAAAAGCACGAAATTAAGCGTAAGTTTTCAGTACCTTATGCTCCACAGCAGAATTTGGAAGATCACTCAGCATCTCCTTGCTGATTTTCTGACACGCCTCCTTTTCACCGCTCTAAAGTGGTTGCGAGCATATGCCCTTAGCTTAGCGAGTATTTTTCTCTCACCCACACGCAGAACTAAAGAATGATACAACTTGCTCTCCATCAATTCGCAACAATTAAGAAGCCTGCTAATGTCCTCCTGCAAAGAAGTCAAACCATACAAACTCTCTCTAACATCAGCCAGAGATATAAGCGCCTGGCAAACATTATCTGTCAGCAATACCTCCCTGAAATCCTCTAATTTGTGTTCACAGTCTGTTTTGATTAATTCCAATAGCTTAATCATCTTATCATCTTCATTAGCTTCGATTAAAGAATCTACCACAGAATCTAGTTTTTGATATATGTTTTCTGATAAGAATATGTACAAAAGAATCAACAGCTCCATTTGAGGTTCACCATCAGAAGATACCTCAAAGTACTCAGAATTCTGGCTGGAGCAGCCAGAATAATTCAACTTTCTCCACAATCCTAGTCTTGTTCTAACATAACGGTTGGAGTATGAAGAAGAAAACCAACTGAGTACTAGATATAGATCAATGTTAACAATGTTATAAGGGTTTTCAAGTTCTGTGAATCCATATCTATGAAGCAATGCAGCATTACCCATAGACCCGTAAGTGTTGAAGACCTGAAAAACATAGATATATAAATAAATGTCTTCTATAAATTATTAATCGCGCTTTATAAGCTAGAGACAATCGTTCAAGAATATTAGCAACAACCTCTCAAGTGGTGGTGAGATGTCTGAATTCTTAAAGGAAGGTCAACACTTTCCACCATCTGATTCAAAGAATCGAACAAAACCTCACTTGTGATAAAAGGTGGTGCGCTGAGGTTTCAAGTTAACAGTGGACTAATAATGATTTTGAAGGGTTTCCCACAGACTAACATCCTATTTGCACTTTTTAAAATTTGATGGGAATATAAAAGAATAAGTATAAAACGGCATATTTAATAGAAGTAAAAAGAGTAAAATGAAATTTGCACAAAAGGTATGGAACAAAAATTAGATGAAAATATCGTGATTCAATTTAATCAAAGTAAGTTTTAAACACTTGGATTTCCTTTGAAAAGAGTGTGACACGTGATAATCAATCAAATCTTGCAGTGCACTCAACTCAAAGCAAATTGAAGAGTTCTAAAATTCATCCTAACTAAATTTTGATCAGAGTAACTTTACCGATTATTTTTTCCCAAAACATTACTACTACAGCATTAAATACTAACCTCACCACCTGCCTCAACCTCCTTCACCACGACCATTTCCAGAGTTCCAATAGGATCGCCTACTGCAATCCAAAGGAAACCTCATTAATTGAAAGCAACATACACAAACATCCTGCAAGATATCATCTAGGGATGACAATGATGGGTATTTTTTAACCTGATGTATTAGTAAAGTTTTTCACTGATGGTTTCTCATCATCAAATGCATAAAAAATGTCCGTATCAATATCATCATCTGAATCAGAGGAAGAAGATGTTAACGTAAAGTGAACATTCTCAGCACCAGTCTTGTGATTAAACCTAGACATCAAAACCAGGAAATCAGATTAAGTTTAATCATTTGAAATTGCTAAAGCATGCTTAATTTAATTAATCATGTTAATTATTGACTAATTGAGTGATTAATAGCAAAATTATATTTTTGAATTCAAATTAGATCTTAATTTTATCACAATTGAATCCTGCACTTCTTTTTATTCAAAGTGATAAATACATTTTGCATGTATCCTTTAAATTTAATTTCTGTAATAACGACAAGTTTTTTATTAGTTGTTGGGAGATGATTCTATAGTCATTTGTTGGCTATTTTGGGAGAGTTTTGGATGTTTTTAAATGCTTTTGACGATTAAAATAAGACTATAAATACCAACATATTATGAAGAAAAAAGCTAATGCAAATAAAAGAGTTATTGATCTTTCAATGTATTGCGCTGACTATCGACAACCTAATACAACCCTCCATTTTTCTCATCCAAGACTTACTTGATAATGACAATGTTTAGTAAAAATTAGTACTAGATAAAAAAAATAAAAGCAGAGATTCAAACTAAGATATATGCCTCTTGAACCTCTAACTTTTCCAATAATACTCCAAGCTTTTCATGATCAATCATAATATTTTGATTGCATATTTTATTATCTTCTCATGTGATTTTAATCTATCATATTTTAAATAAGTGCTCCTTTCTTTTAAGATTTTTCTTTATCTTCTTTGATTGCTCCCACATGCAGGATCTATGTACTATGATACCAACATCCTTGATTGTTATCACGAGTAAGATCTAATTTTTGAATACTGATTGCTCAAATTTGAGTGAGAGATTAGCCTCCGTCAAAATCTAAATGGAGTAAAAAGAGGCAGCTATTATGGTTTTGTCAAAAGCTTTCAGGTAAATTGGTTTAGATTAGTTTTCCAATTTTTAGTGGAAAAAAAAAATACCCTTGAAGATTTTGAGCAAACATGGAGAATCTGGCAAATTTTATATGCTCTTTAATGTTGAATGTACTTATTTAGTTAGAAATGAACCATATATTGAAAGTTACTCACAGATCAGCCAATGGCACCATACCAGAGCCATGATATCCATCAATCTGAAAGGATCTAGAAGCAATAAGACTTTTTGCAGAAAAATACTGCTCGATACCAAAACTATTCGGGTCTATCTCCAAAGGCCTTGATTGAATGAGAGGTTCAATGTATTCTTTCCAATCCTCATAGAGGAATTTCTTGTCTTCTATTATAATCTGCCAAGTAGAAAAGTAAACATTACTACAATGTCAGGATTTGATGAAACTGCTTATACAGACTTTGAAGAATAGAGAATGATAATAGAATAATGTTTTAAGTTAATGGTTTATGCTGAAGTAAAAATAAAAACAGTAGAATGGATGCTTATAAGCAGCACTTGTTACAAACAACAAAATCCGAGAAGACTATTAAAAAAATTTGGAAAAGAACCAAAAACAAAATCCGAGAAAACTATTAAAAAGTTTTGGAAAAGAACAAACAACCAAAAAAGACGAAAATAATTGAAAATATATAATGTTAAAAACTCTAGGCAGGACATTCATCAGGAAGTTGACATTCATAGAAAAAGGCCCATTTGGAAGCTTCCACATACCTTATTAATTGTATCAAACATAAATTCAAAAATGAACATAACATCACTAGTTAACACTACAAAAGAAGGGTCATCATGTTATCAAACTACGATCCACGCCAAAATGTAGAACTATAGAGAGCATTGCCTATATAAAACTTGGGGGCTGTTTGGCGTCCTATTTTAGGCAGGATTTAAGAAGGATTTAGTTTAAATCCTCCCAAACATAGCTTTTAGGACTTTAAATCCTACTATATTGATAAATTTCATTTGAGCATCATTATTAGTTAAATATAGAATTTGCTAAACCCCGCCATTCATAAGATTTAACAGATTTAAGGATTTCCCCTCTCACAAAGCTTGAACCATAAAACAAACATCCAAACAATATATCAGAATTTAACAAGATTTAATAGTTTATATGCAAAAAAGTTTTCAGGTTTTAATCTTCAAAGATTTTCTATGTATCTACATTTGTCTGATTTACTAAATCCTCTTAAGTTAAATTATACTTATGGCCAGACAGGTCTTATAGAACTTTCAGTGACCACCCAATTTCACCAATAGCCATCGTCTAAAATGTGAAACTTGGATAAAATCCATGAAAAAGCAAACAAGCAAGAACAAGCAAAGCTAGATAGAAGCATGGTTGAAAGGGCACTTTAGAAGTTCTACACAGGAAAACAAAATGGAGAAAACCATATTATTTTGAAAACAACACCTGCAATAAGCTTTTTCTTGAATTGAAATGCTTAGAGCCTTGTGTTTATTCATATTTACATGAAATAAAAAGTAGAAAGATCACATTTTGAACAGGTTAGATTTCTTGTTTTATGATAAGCAATCAACAGAAAACATGCAAAGAAATATGCTTGTCTGAACTGATTTGTTTGCTGTTTCTAAAAGCAAAAGGGCATTAGAGGTGCATTCACTTAGTTTCAAAATATGTAAATCAATGCTAATTTCCCAATTAAAATTATAACTACTTAATAATATCAAAAAAATTATAATAATCTTAGTTTATTTGTGGGATTATTCCATAATATGAGAAAACATACGAAACAAACAATAAGTAAAATAACAAGGTCATTGATAAATTTATTGGTTACAAATAATAGTGATTTTTTATATTATGTTTATTTATTAAATTAACTAATAAAAAGAATGCACATAATTCTTATGAACCATTTTAATTGCTAACAAAATATAAAATAACTAAAGCAAGATTAAATAAATGAATATTTTAAAATAATTAAATCACCCATATTAAATGTATAAGAAGCCAAGATTTATATTTGTATTACTAGTATTCTTATAAATTGTTTAATATTGTAATTAAATCACAATTGAAATTTTGCACCATAAAATTTATAACATAAGTTCACTATTTAATAACAGCATAAATATTTTGCTCATTTTGTTCAATTAAAATTCTCATGTATTTTGTTATAGCTATTAAAACTGTAATTAAGCAATAGAAACATAAGATTGAACATCTATTTCGTTCTTTTTTCATATTATATAATCTAAATTTTAAGTTATAAGATATATTTATGACTCTAGTTTTTTTATATATATATTTTTTTAATTTAATTAAAACTTTTCAAATCAAATTAGACTAATAATATAATATGATTTAAATTATTGCTTGTTATAGCATACCATTTGCTCAAGTGTTTACCTTTCATATAATGACTTTAGTAAAACTAAACAAAGACTTGGAACAAATGTGTCAATTAAAAAAACAATTTGATTTTAGACCAAGAAGATCCGCTGCAGATATAACTTTTTTGCTAAGGCAATCACTTAAAAATTATAGAGAGCAAACAAAATATTTCATATGATTTTTGTTGATATTGACAAGGCATGTAATCGACTCCACAATAATTAGTTTGGTGCACAATAAAAGATGTATGTGTCAAAATATGTTGAAGATAAATAAATATATAAATAGCAACTACTAGAATTGAAGCAGTCATGAAGTCGTGAAAGATTCGGAATACATCAAGGATTAGCATTAAGTACATATCTTATTTGAATTGGCTATGAAGATCCTTTCATGTGATATTAAAAGTGAGATACTATGGTTAATATTTATTTGAATTTGGCATAGTTCTAACGGTGAGACCTCTATTAAAATAAATGAAAACTTGGAATAATTGATAAAAATTTTAGAAGCTAAAGGTTATGAATTAACAAAATAAATATCAGACAAAGATTCAACCATTTGAGTGGACGCGATATTAAAAATTATGAGCAATATTACTAAAACAGAGTAAGGGAAAATTAAGTTAGGTTTAAATAAGCTGAATCAATTTTTAGCAGCTCTTATTTCAACCCTAGTTCCACTTTAAAACGCATCAAATAGATCCAAAATAAGATGCGTTCAATTTTTAGAGTCACCTTATGGAGCTCGGTCCCAACCAGCAGCGTGTCCACCTCCTCCAAACTCCAGACAAGAGGAACGCACTCCCTCTCGGGCAAGAGCTGGAGGTATCCCTCCCATGGAGAGGCCGCGCCGAGGCTCCTCTCGTACATAAGCGCCATAGCGAGACCAAGAAAACCGCCAAGGCCGGCATCCTCGATAACTGAAGAGATCCCCGAGGTCCGGATAGTGAGGCAGGAACTCTTGGGAATGGTGGCCACGAGGTCTCCTTCCTTGAGGTCGCAGAGAGCCCGCACGGAGATGCCGCTGTCGATGGAATCGACGAACTCGAGGGCATCACTGTATACGAACCCTTGAGACTTCATCCATCTCTTGAAAGCCCTCAATCTCCTGCGCGATCGGAAGGAATCATGGACTAGAAGAGCGACTCGAAGTATTCGAGCTAGAAATAGGGCATACCTGCTCATGGCTGACGTCGACGAGAGCAACGAAGCGGCGGGAATTTGGAAGACAATACTATTTACCCCATACTATATATATATATACTCATGAGAGATTAGGGGGGTGGGGGAGTTCTCTTGTTCAACTTACCTCTCATTGAAAAAAGAATTCTCAGTCATGACTAAAAAGTATAGTATCTCTCAAGAAATTTGTTGTAGCGTCTCCCTTTGTGTAGAATATCGAAGATAATTCACTCATATGTAGTTTAGATAATTGATTTGGGGGTTAATAACATATCTTATTAATATCTCATTATTTGTGGACTATGATATATTTGATCAATGATAGTACTAGTCTCAACTTGATCCAAACATCTCAACGACAATCATCATTGATTCATCGAATGGGATTTTATATACTAAGGCTTCGTTTGGGACGGCTTTCTTATTGCTTCTTAAAGCAGCTTTCTAGTACAAAAATTTTAATTTTTATACTAGAATGCTGCTTTAAGAAGCAGTTAGAAAGCCGTACCAAACGAAGCCTAAGTGTAACCCCAAAAATCTCACATGCATTGTGAAATCAATGCAACGGTAAAAATGGCATTAGTTTGCCCACTCATCATTCAACTCATACCCTTCCTATCATCTGACTATGAAGATGTCCCAGTGAACGGAAGCCCCAAATGTTCCCCTCATCCTTGCTAGTCATGGGACGCCTCAAGAAAATGCTAAAGTTTCATGCTAAAGTCATCTAATACAACCCAACTCTATTACAACCCTTTCCATTCTTTTGACACGGCCAAAACATGAATAATGCACTACACCTTCAGGCTTTTACACAAATCAGTAGTCTATAATGGCATGCCATTTTAGAAAAGCACCTAAAACAACAATTTCAACTAGTGTTGCCCAAAGTCCATGTCACGCCCCAATATCTAAAGTGAAAGAATTATATTTTTATTATCTTTATCTTTTTCAATTCATTAACAACCAATATTCATTCATCGACCATAAGATAAATTTGACATTCATATCTGATTAATTATGTTAAATGAATAAATAAACAACTGAAAACATAAAAAGTTAAAACATAGAACTAAACTAGCAATTTTCTCTAGCCCCATACTGTATGATCCTTACCTTTATCTCACTTTTATCTAAAATCATATAAAAACAACATAATAAACTTACAAAGCCCAGTAATTTACCATAATTTACAACTATCTTCAATGCAAGGTAAAAGATTTAATATACTTGATATAGTTCTAATCAACATCAATTTATTCTATCAGTGAAAGTCAAAAGAGATCTATTAAATTATAAAAATTTTATTAGTGAAGTCAAAAGAGATACTTATTGTTTGAATAATAATGGTATGATAGTTGGTTTAAGAATGATGACTTATAACCTTGTCATTTTAACATATGTATTCTACTGTCTTACAAACCTTACTATTATCACATATATTTTATTGTTTTTACACAGATTCATAATTTCATTGCTTGCTATCATTATGAATTGAATAATTTCATACATATTATTTTTTTTCCATGTTGAGTTTAGTGGTATGATTATATTGATCTATTGGGCTTTATAAGCTCCATATATGTGATTTAATAATTTCATGCTAGGAAAAAAGTTCATGAGTGTGAAGCTAATCAAATATAGGATTCTTTATGTTTCACGTCTTTTAGTTATTTTTTTGAGCTCAATAGTGGGCATGCAATATGTTATATTTTTATGACTCATGGCTAATGTATATGATATTTGGGTAATAAACATAGATATATATTGATATTATGATCAATATATTTATTTCTTTTGGTATTTTATTATTGAAAGAAATTTGATAGCTATAATTATTATTATTAAAAGATAAGATATACAATTCTTTTCAAATTAGATTCTGGGTATGACAAAATTTAGTATCAGAGTTTTTTGTTTTTTTGAATAATTAAATTATCAGCAGAGCTGTAATAATCGATTATGAATCAGGTAAGATTGAGTAGATTAATGTGTATTATTTTACATATATAATTGATTGCATATGCGAATTGTTCATACAAGATTGCACAAGTGAACAAATGAAATGGATCTACCACAACAAAATATATTGAATGAACAACATAGTGCAGCTCCAGTATCGTCAAATAGTACGATGTAGCTGGCTAGTGTTATAGCATAGGACAAACCAACTGGAAGTAAGGAAGAAAAGGGAGATAAGGATGGACAAATAATATGTTACATTTTGTATGACTCATGACTACTGTATATGATCTTTGTGTATTAAAAATAAATGCATGTTAATGTTTTGATCAATAAATTTATTTTTGCTAATATTTTATTATTGAATTGAATTAGATAGCTCTGATTGTTATTATAAAAAGATAAAATGTGCATTTCTTTCCAAATTAGATTATGAAGCATGACAGACACCACCATCAATAACTCTAATTAAAAAGTTGGGCTTTATGTACCAATCCTTATCTCCCGGCATCACGCCTCATCATTAGTATCCATAATCTTTATTATAACTCCAAGAATCATTCTGTTTGTTAGCTAACACTAGGGAAGCGATAAACAAAAAGGAAGAAGTTTCTTCGTCTCTTTCGATCTTCCACTCTTTGTCTCATTTGGTTAAGAAAACTTTGTTGGGCACATGAACATATGTCATAGTCTAATGCGTACAGGTCCCAAAAGAATTAGACTCACCATTCATCTCTTTTCTAACCTTGCATGGGAGTTCCAGTTTTCGCCTACTTGGGGGAAACTATGCCACTTCTTATCCTGCATCACGGCCCAAGGTAAGCCTAATAAGGACAAGATTTAAAAGACCCATAAAGTTATGCATACTTTATGAGTCCTCCACCCATTAAAAGATTTTTTGTTAATGTAACCTCCAATTTGAATAGCAGGACTTTTTTAGCCTCCGTTAAACGTTTATTTTAATCTTCACTCCTCTTTATCATTGTATCACTACTATGGTGGATTCTTCACTTGTCTTTTGGACAGGGAAGCTTCATCATATGTGGACTAAATTGAAAATATTTACAAATTAAAGCTATTTTAGTATTTTCAAATAGCTTGTGAACATGTTGATTATTTTCCAAGGAGACCTAGCTTCATACGGCTATCCTCTCTCGAAAGTGTACTTGAATTAGGAGAAATTATTTTGTGTGGAGTTCAAATGCTTATGACATATACATAAGATATGTATACCTTGTGTACAAAGAAATTTTTTTTAAAAATAACATGTATAATATATATTTTTAGTAGTACGTGCATGTTAGTTTTAAAATTTAAAACGAAACAAATAAGTCAAATAAATTGGCACATTCGAAAGAATTCATCAAATGACTTGACGCATTCTTTAGAATGTCACCCCGCATGCCTCCCAGTCAGCCGAACTAAATTTCACAGAATTGTAGCAACGCGCTATACTAAAGGACGAATGTGCCAAATAATATAACACATTCCATTGAATGTGCAAAATTGTTTGGCTTATTCTAAATATGACAAACAGTTTAGTGCATTCAATAGAATGCGCCATTCTGTCTGACTAATTTATTTTTTTTTATAATTTTTTTAATACTATACTTTTATTTCTAATTTAAATTAAATATTTCTCTTTCTTAAAAAAGGCCGTGTTCAAAATTATACAAATTACAAGCTGACGACCTTGACCTACTAATTTCTCCCGGACTAGAGCCTAACAACGAGAGAAAGGGGAACGCCTGTAAGCGATAAAAGGGTTCTCTTCGATCGGTCGTTTTTACTTCAGAATCCATGGCGGAAGAAGAGTTGAAGAAATCGCGGACGGCCCTAGATGCCAAATGGGACGCCTGTATTGACCTCACCGTCCGCCGATTCGCCTACTCGTCCCTTGCTGGAACCTTGGCTGGACTCCTCTTCTTCCGTCAGCTTCTCCCCCCTCCTTCTCCTTAATTATGTTGATCTCTTTTACCAGCAAACGCTCAGCTATAATGCGTTTTTCCTTTTGTGGTTTTTAGACCTTCGTTTCGTTCGGGCTTTTGCACCGACTTTTCTTCATGTATATAGGGGAAAATAATTATTAGCTGGAGAAGAGGTGCTTATATTTCAATTTTTATCGTTATTTTTACTACTCTCTTCATTCTAATTTTTTGAATCAAATTAGTGGTAATTTACTGTTAGTCATGCGTGTTATGGTTTGATGATGCGCTTAAAATTGATTCTTGTGAATGTGGTGCTTATTAGTTGATATAATGATCCTCTTAGAAGTTACAACACGGTTTTCCCACTACGGGATATTTAAATGGTGATTATGCCTTCAAAATTTTTAGGCAGATGGCATATCTCGGATTGTGGTTCTAGATGTTGCAGTTCTAAACTTCCAAAGTTATTCCCAAAGGATTACGATTAATGATGGAATCACGCAATTTTTTATTAATCTTACTTAACTAATACTCCCGACTCATGGCTTAATGTGTAACAGCTCGGCAACAAGAGAAGAAAATTATAACATTTGAATTTATCCAGTTTTGATTGTAATCAGGATTCTTTATATCTAAAGACTTATTTTCTTTGTGTTTTCCCTTTAATATTAGAAGAAAAAGAAGATTTGATGTTTTTTTATGCAGTTTCGTACCATAGCCAAGCCTTCCTTTTTTGTTTTTTCCCTATTAAAATGGAGTAGATTCTCTAGCATTTTAGAAAGAGATGAAATTTTGAATGATTGTGAGTGTATTCCTTAAAACATCAGGTCAGATTGTAAATGTTGATGCTGTAGGATGCCCTATATTGTGTTACAATTTGAGTTTTCCCATCTCTAACTGAAATAATTGACAATGCTGAAATAAATGGACAAAATGTTTTTCTCTTAGGGTTGGTGTGCATTGTTAGCTAGGTTGAAGATATTGGCTTTCATAAGTATCACTCATGAGTTCTTTCGTTGTTTTTTTTATCTTCCCAGGAAGTCCAATAACTCGATGGGCATCTGTAGCTTTCGGTGCTGGAGTAGGGATTGGAACTGCATATACTGAATGCTCTTACCTATTTGAGGGTTCTGTTCCAAAATGGACATCTTCAAAGATTTCAAGTGTTCCTTATGGTTCATCTCAAGTAAGAAATTTGTGTTTAAATACTTATTTTGACCATGCAAATTTAATTCTCTTGCAATCCATTTGATTTACTTATAGAAAATAGTCTTGATTTTATTTTGGTCTCCAGACTCCAGTGGAGCATGTTAGTGATTTGATTTGATTTTTTTTTTGTTATTTTTTAATGCATGACTTTGTATCAACAATAAATTATTGCCTTTCTGTTATATATATCATTGACGTGATTAATGCACTCAAATGATTAATTTCATATCCACAATATCTTTGTTGTTGTTGCAATTGATTTATCAATTTTAATATAAAACACTATGTCTTAGTTCTAACGTCATGCTAAGAAACCCTATTGTTAATATAGAAACTCTACAAATTTTACCTATAATAGCATAAAATCGATCAAATCTTATGATATTATAAATCAACTTGCTAACGTGCACACACAGGGAGATAAATATAGTAAATGTGTCATACTTTTGGCAAGATAATTGCTTTTGTATTATAAGATTGCTATAAGTGGGAGAAAATATGAGATTTAAATGAATAACTACTTGTTATAAATTAATTACCCTAGCCAAAATAGAGGTAAGAAAATGACATTTAATAGCCTATTGGTTTGAGCTTCGCCTCTCACAAATTTGGGGGTCATTATGTTCATTTGCCTGATTTGAACTTAGAGATAATGAAGACAAAGGCTCATTAAGGGGGGATAATTGGGCTTGCTTCCTCATGAACCATTCTAGAAGATGGAAAGATTTTGCATTGATGCAGCCTTCATTATTCTCTTTATAAGATTAGGTATTTTTGGAATATACTAATCAATTAAATTAGGATGATTTAGGATCTGACATATTCAAACTTATTTCCACTAAAACAGTGAATATATTAAAATATAAAAAGTGGACCATGGGAATATAAAAAGTGAACCATGGGGAAATTATTATTAGGTGCTTTGCTGAAACTATTTATCTTTTAAGAGTTCAGCCTTTGCACAAGCTTGAAATGAAGGTACATTTTAAGTTCCCAGCAACTCAACAAAAAATTTCCAAAAAAATTCGGATGTAGCCTAAATTGTGAACAATTTAAAGCTTTGACGCAAAATGGCTGGCGCAAAATAACGGGAGCATTTACAGACTGTATGGTACCATACAAGTAGCTATTGAGATATGCTTATTTGGATTGAAAGATAGAACGTTAGACGCTAGAAAATTGTCTTAATAGTCAACTCAATCTTAAAGCTCAGTAGATTTGATCCCAATAGTCAACTCAATCTTAAAGCTCAGTAGATTTGATCCCAATATACAAACTACGCACGTCGTTAGCATTATATACAATTAGTGAGTTATACTAATTTTTATGGAAACATAAAATTCTATTCCTATATAAAACAAACCAAGAGCAAATTCTATTTAACAAGATGTCAATAAACTTTGGGTTTGTTTTGTGGCAGTGAGTGCTTTTGTTGCATGAAAGTTTAACCATATTTGATATTTTAGATTTGATGTATTTATTTTTGTTATTTTCTCTGTGGGCATACCATGAAAGTTTAGTTATGCCCAAGTTTATAAGATAATAGAGAGAATTCAAGGATGCTTTTTGCATATCATAGTTTGTCTTGGATAAGAGAGAATATATTTTGTAAGTTGTACCAGATAGATCGAGAGTGACATAGCAAATTCTTTTGTTGAGATGTTATCCCATAATACTATGTTTATGCATTCTCACCTGTTGGTTTCGATTTATTTCCATTAAGTGTTGATATGTTGGATCATATCTATCATATAAAAGATTCATCCATTAAAGTTTCTATTGGTTGAATCTAATACTTCGGTACTCTTCTTGCTGATTTCATCTCTTTAGGAAGATAACTACTTGAAATTTCCATAAATCATTAATTTCCTTTGTTTAGAGCTTCCAGAATCTCCATTACTGTCTTTTATTGTACATTGAGCTTGTTTGGTTCTATTTTTTCACCTTTATGGAAAAGATAACTTGTTGTGAGCTTGTTCTGATCAATGCCACTTAGGCAGAACATTTGCTTTTTTAAAGCTCCACTAATGTTTGGAGTTTTAGGACCTCCAAATGGTTGTTTCTCACTTACCCTCATTGAAATTGAGCTCTCTAATCTCCATCCTCCTTTTCACTTCTTGCTTATTGTGAAAAGTGGAGTCTAATTTTTTTTTTCAAGTTTAGTTTTAGTTGTTTGGGCTATGATTTTTTTCCCTTCTTGATCATGAAGATCTTGCAATTTACATTTTATGATTGCTATATTTAGTTTCCGCATTGTGAAAGCTCTTTTAATTTCCTGGACCTAATTTCCTTCTATTTTTTGTTATTGTTATTGATTGTCTAATTTGCTATGGAAAATAAAATACTAAGATATTTCATTTTTTGTGTTCTATATCATCATCATCATTAGCCTCATAACAATTTTTTGTAATTGGTGATATGAATCATCCTCTTTAAATCGTCATGTAATACATGGTGTTATTTATAGTTTATATAATTTTTTTTGCACAACTTTTGCTTTCTCTTGTTCATGCTCTATCTATGCAAGTTTTTCTCCGTCTTCTATAGTTATTTAGGCATCCATCTTAAAATTCACATTCTTTTTACAATCAGGTTCTCTATCAACCACTACTTTATTGGCTTTTATTGGATAAACATTAAAATCCATATAACATAATCATTCTAATTATAGATTTTTATCTTCACCTCTGCGTGATATCTTTGTTCAAATATTGCTTCTGAGTCACAACTCTTATATAATTTCAATCGTGGATCATAATTAGGTATCCGAGTATAGTTTCAACCGATAAGAAAAAGTTCTCATGGTTAAACCGAGGATGGGAAGGATATCTTTTTTGATTCTATGATGCTAGGGGATTTACATCTATTGGAAATATTACAAACAATTGGAGGTCTTCTTAGCATAAAATAAGTGATGGCCAAGTAGATGGTTGATTAGTTTGACTATGAGTTGAATTTCTTGCTACCATGATAGTGCCACCAACATCTACTCCATCACCAACTCGCCTGGACTAAGGAGAGCTATCCCATAGAAGACAGCATCATATAAAGGTAAATACGAAAACAAATAGAGAAAATGAGAAGGGTGCATAAATGATAAAAGAAGAATATTTCCTCTTTAAGGTAGAGGCAAAGTTGGAATTAAGTTTTACTTTGACGGAAAATCAGGGCTGAAGTAACAAATAATAAGTTTGAGCTTCTTGAAATACATTTTAAGGTTTATGATTATCCAAATAAAAGAAAATTGCATTTGCTAGTTTGAACTGCCCTTACACACTTTAGGGCAGTGGAATTCTTAATCTAAGAATTATGATTAGTCCAATTTGACATGGTCAAAATTCAAAAGATAGTTAAAAGCTTAATTTTATCCTATTGAACACAGAAGAAAAGTTATCCAATGATAAAATTTTAAGAAGGAAAATAGGCTGAATGTACAAGAATACTCGATGGAATTTAGAAGGCAGACAGCTGCTTTAAAACTTTTATTGATAAAAAATTTCTATTCATTAGATATGTAGTTGGACTATATAAAAAACTTCACATAGAATTGAAGCTTTTTTTTTTTTTGGTTACTGGCTTTCTTGAAGCTAGCACAAAAGTTATAGTACCTGACAAAAGAAACTTTACTCTTTTTATTGGTATAAAATCCCAGCTTGTGACTTACACAGAAGTAGAATATCGATAGCTCAGCTATAGAGGAACAAGATATTAGATCGCAATGTTGGTACTACAAAAAGCTTGGGCATAAACTTGAGAATCGTTGGAAGTACAAAATCGGGTAAAATTGTAAGACAAGAAGAAAAAGAACCTCATTACTACAAAATTAGTTAATGTAGGAGTGATAAAGGCAGATGAGAGAACAAGTTTAATGCATTGTCCTTGATTTTGCATGCCCATACCAGTAAGGAAGCTAGAGAAGAAGTGTTCCACTTTAAGTTTAGATGAAATATGCCATTGTCAATGCAATTTTGGATCCATGTTATGAAAAAAATCTTATCTCTGTAATGTTGGTTGAGAGATTGGGGTTAGTCACTATTTAACATTCAAAATCAATTTGTTTGAGCTGATTTCAAAATGTCAATATTTGTTAAGTTGCTAAATCATGTTCTCTTAGTTTTGTTTCTCTAGAGATTTTATTAATGAGCTAGTTTCTAAAGTTGTACTGTTGGATGAATGCTATGCAATTCTAGGTTGTCCATATTTGTGGAATATGAATATTATCTTTTATTGAAGGCAACAGAAAATTTTAACTTGTAAAAAGAGGGGAAAAAATATAAAGTTAGTTTATTATTTCAGCTTCAAAGGAAATAGAGAGAACGACTATTCCATAAGATCTTATCAAGGGGTTAAGAGCTCTCTTACTGATGAAGAGCGTAGCAATAATAGTACCCATTATTGATATGCATCCAATCAAGGAAGATGCACCATCTTAGCCTGCGCAAAAGACATAATTGTAAAAAGTAAGAAAAAAAAGAATAAGTTAAACGGTCAAAAGAATAAAAAGAGCTCCTATTTGCAGGAATGAATGTGCCAAAATAAGGTGGCATTGTTCTGGAGAATCTCTTGATGGAGATTCTCAAGTTACACCGTTAAAAATAAAGATCAAGTCATTAGGAGTCAAAAGATAAAGATGGATTATTGATTGGAGATTTGGTGATCAAAATAAGAAGTCAAAAAATCTGGACCATTGGATGGCAATGGTTGAATTTTAATGAATTTTGAATTATAAATTTGTAATTTAAGTTTTAAATTGAAAATAGGAGTTTTTCTCATGCGTTTCGTAATAAGTTTGTTTAAGCAAGTCTTTTACATATCCAATCACTGTAACAATGTTTCAGCATGAAGGGGTTTTCTATGCTTCTCATCTTGTTGGAGTTGGAGGTGGGATTACATCTGTGTCTAATGGTTGTTCTCATTGGAGGTACGGACCACCATGAATGGTAGACAAAAGATTTCTCTCCCTCCCTCTCTTTTTCTCTGCCCCCACCCCTTCTCTCTCTCTCCTCTCTCTCTCCTCTCTCTCTCTCTCTCTTTCTACGTTCAGCTCTCTCTCTTTCTCTCATGACTTGTTTCGTTTGAATTAGGGACCAACTACCAATAATAGTAGATGAAGGACTTGTTTGTGATCATGCTCTCTAAGATCTCTTTAAGAAAGTGTGCTTTAGAATTCAGATTACTAGACCTTCCACTAGCGATTCAGGCTTCATTTGGGATGGCTTTCTTACTACTTCTTAAATCAGCTTTCTAGTACAAAAAATTTACTAACAAGAAAGCCGTCCCAAACGAAGCCTCAGTCTTCTCTTGCCCTTTTTCTTATCGTATATTTTGGAAATGCCATTAATGAGCTTAAAAGCTCGACCTTGCATTTGTACGACTCAAGCTTATGAGGAACTCGGTCTATGTCACTGTGACCAAGTTTCTGTTAGTATTTTCTATGGAATACACACTTTTTTTTCTTCTATGAATGACTTTTTCTATATATAATTCTGTTTCCCTCAGCTCAACTCACTGTTGTTTTCACATGAATCATGTCCATATCAATCTTTTATTACTGTTGGATTCAGACCTTATTACAACCCTGAGTCCTTATTCACTAAATATCTCCCTTCCACTCTTTTTTGCATCCAGGAACAGCAGAAGTGAAGCTTGCCACAGACAAATGTCATCAGGACCTTATTTATCTGTATTTTCAGCTTGATCAGTGAGCTGTTCTTCATTTTATAATATGTATCTGAACCAACTTTCTATGACTGGTGGTTTTGTCCAATTCACATTTGATGCAAAATTACTAGAAAAGAAAACACTGATGTTATGTTTTTCTATTCCAAAAATGCAGCAGGTCTCTATTGTTTTTTAATTTCTTCAGTAAAATAACCCTACTGGGTATGATTAGTAGATTGCTCTGTGATTTTGAGAACCCAATCACCTGTGTGGAGATCTATGTTTGATTGCTTCATGCAAGGTGTGCCAAACAAATTAGGAGTCACTTGTTTTCATTTTTTTAATTTTTTAGTTATTTTATTTATGTTGTGATATAGAATAACACATGTGTATATATATATATATATATATTTAAAAATATATAAATAACACTTTTATTTATTTTTATTATGTTTTGTTTATAACTCTATTTTCACTTATGTCTTTTAGGATCAACCCTCAATAGGCCAAGGAGGAGATTAATAAGATTACCCTTATAACTTGACATTTACTTATTGCTCCTTTGAACCATTGGCAATCATACAAAGCAAATGGGGCTATGAATAACCTCCTAGATTTGCACTTGACATATGAGGCCATAATTAGAAACATAATAGGAAAAAAAAATGAAAAACAATAATGATAACAGGAAAAAAATTGAACTTGTATGATAGAATTTGTATTGTACTTTAACATCTCCGACGTCTGAATTTCAGCCATATGAGCATGATTACACATGCAGAATTACAAATATACATGATATTGAAACCCTAAATCTTAAGCCCTATATGTACGATTATTCAGGATTGATGCATGTATAATTGACCTACATGTTTAACATTTATCATTTTTAAAATCACTTATAAGGGACATTTAAAACCTTATTTTAGCACTTTTAATGAATTATAGCTAATTACTAAAAATTTCATTTTTTTTTCAGAAAATACTAAAAAATTCGCATTAAATATCAACTTCTTATAGTTAAAATAATCAAAACAAGACATTTTATAGCATACCAAAAATTTTATGGTGGAAATTTTTGTTATACTTATAAAAAATATATTTTATTTTGTAAATTTTAATAGAAATATCATAATTGAAATAAAAATAGGACATTGAGAGCCTAACTCAGGCAAGACGTTTCTTCTAATTGCCTCGATGAACGAATCCTGCACTACAACCTCAGGTGCTCCTTCCTTTCTCTTTTTTCCTCTCCTACTTTTCCATCTATGACAAGCTTTTATATATATATATATATATATATAATAGTATACATAAGTTTGATGTTGGGCCGCTGCCATCAACCTTCCAAAACCCACTAACAGCTAGGGAGCTATTAATTATCTAGATTTCCCCAAATCTTTCCTAAACATTACAGCTCAACGCACATCACTCACCCTAAACTCCACTCCAAGACATGAAGTACTGCTACCCTCCAAACATAAGGCCACAATTCCTAGAGAATTGTCCTACTCTTACTCTTTATATATATATATATATATATATAAATATATATATAATATAATATATATATATACTGGGATTATTCTTATATATTTCACAATTTTTATTTTTGCCTATTCTAGAGTCCTAGAATTTCACATTTAATTACATACCTATAGGTTCTATATTGAGTAGATATATATATAATCGAGGATCCATAATAAAGACTTTGATGAGAGAGGAAAAAAATGCCTGGATAAACAGGCTAGCAGGAGGGAGAAGAGAAAAACATATGCAACCTTTGTTGGAGACGAGAAATCAGCCTTAGTGTAAAACAATGCATAGGGAACTCACACAATGCAGAGTGGAAGAGCATTAGGAGTCGAAACCATATAAGGCGAAACCCTCTGAAACTTCTCTTGGGAAGAGCCATATTTGAATTCAATTAGAATGATTTTGTCAAGACTACTAACGAATAGTTATATTATGTCCGCTAACAAACATATCCTTGAAGTTTTGTTGAGCTCATAAATGAACTAGTTTATTGAGCATTCCTCAAACTCACAAAGTGTATAAAATCATATTTAATCATGTATAAATTTATACTTATAAAATATTATAAAATAAAATTAGTTTTAATTAAATCACACATAATAACATAATATCAATTAATAGATATTTATTATTTAAATTAAATAATTTTCTCATTAGCTCTATATCAAATATTTTTAAAAATATTCATAAATATAAATAAGTCAAATATATATAATTATTCAATTTTATTTTTTTTAATATCTAATATTTTAAAAAATATTCAAACTTATTTAATTAATTAACCAAATCAAACGATCACAACGTAGCCGAACCGCGAGTTAGCGAACAATCAGTTCGTTTACAGTCCTAATCGCTTCTGCAGATAGGAAGCAACTCAGAACCACGAGATTTCCGAAATCGCTTCCTCCTGATCCGAACTCCCCTTCCCTTTGCCGCCAAATTTCTCCATGGCCGCAGCTACCGGACTGAAAGCAGCTACCCGTTTCTTCTTCCATTCTCCAGGCGACTTGCTCTGTCAAATCTGCAATGAATCTTCTCAACAGAGAAGAAACCCTAGGTTGAGGACGAAGCGGAGCAAGGCGGCTCACCTTTCCGTTGCCGGTGGCGAGTATTTGGTGGAGGAGTTTGGGTGGGGAGTGAGGAGGATGACTGTGTCGGGGGATGAAATGAGGAAGGTGGCAGATGTGCAGGCTGAGGCATTCCATGTGCCTGTTTCATTCTTCAATGATGTATTTTTTGAGTTCTTCAAGGTGATCAATGCTTTGTATATTTCTTAGGTTTGTTTCAGTTTATCACATTATCTTGTTGCGGTTTGTTAGTTTTTTAATGGATCATAATTTTTGGATTGATTCTATGGATCAAAAGTTGTCCTGTGGAAGATAAGCTAGAATGAGAAATGAATCGTGCTAAGGTGCAAGAAGGAGATTGATGGCGTGTCTTAGAGAATCTCTTACAAAATTGGTTTAACGAGAAACTGTTCAAATGAGCCCTGTAGGTTAAGAGACCGAGTATGATCAAGCTAAGGATGCACAATTGAGAGAAAAAAGAGATATCTAAAATTGAACTGTAGGCATCTTCAACCGAGAATTGGCTTAAAATATCTTATAGTCAAAAAAAGTTCTCATGTACACATTATACATGCTTTCCGTCCAACTGCTTCATGGACACAACTATCATTAATAATCTACAACATACCTTCGAAGTTTCAGGCCATATCATCCTTAATGTTATCTAATAGCATTTCTTTGTTAGATTTTTTTTTTTTTTTTAATGTTTCAGTTACGAATGCATGTGAGCTTACTGTATTTTTTATACTCTAATTGCTCTAATGTGTATGCTCAAGAAGGGACAAAATTTGTGGACTGATATTTTAATCCACCAGTTCTCTTAAAGGAATTTATTCTAGTTTTTTTTTTTTTTTTTGAAACTTCTCTCGCTCATCATCTGTGCATAATAATGTAGGCTGAAGTGCTTTCTGCCCTTATGTACAGAATCAGAAATTCGCCATCAGACAGGTTTGGCACTGTTTTCCTTTGCGTGTGCTCTTGATTTTGTCCAGTTAAGTATTATGACTTCTACTGTCTTGTGCTAACTATATTTCATGTGTAGTTTTAACCGTTAACCAATGCTGTGTGCACTAGTTGATTGAAGAATATTTTTCATCTTAATTATGAAATGGTAAAGATTTTTACAGAAATTATGTGGGAAGAGCATAATGGAAAAAAAAAAAAAAACAATGAAGTCTATTTAGGTTTCATTTGGGTCGGCCTTCTTACTGCTTTTTAAAGCAATTTTTTAGTACAACAATAAAAAATTATGCTAAAAAACTGCTTTAAGAAGCAACAAGAAAACCATGCCAAACAAAGCCTTAGATTGACTTGAAATAGAAAGGTGGAGTTATCCATGAAGAAAATGCTTACTGTTAGAGCTTTAGTTCCAGATGGGATAACCATTGAGATTTAGATGTTTATTATAGAGACTATAATGGTTTCGCTAAAAAATATTTTTGATGAAAATTCAAAGATTAGGAGAATGCCAAATGATTGAGGAAGATGCATTTTTCGTATCAATATGTAAGAATAAATGATATATTAAATGCTGTTATAATTATAGAGGAATAATTTTGGTTCATTAACTCATTTAATGATAGTTTGAATATTATAATAATGCCAAATGATTGGAGAATTATTTTGGTGCCAATATTTAATAGTTACATTTTCTATCCTTCATTGTACATGTTTACACCACCTATGTCTATTTTCAAGTATCTTATTTTCAATAATTATCATCCTAATAATTCATCTAATATCATCATTAGATAATGTATTCGACTACTTTTGTCACATTCATTTTAATTTTCTCATTTTCATTCGGCATAAGTTAGATATCGTCTCTTTTAAACCTTTAAAAAGTGAAATATGTTGAGCTTTTATGACGATTTTGTCTATGCTTGCTACTCTACATCATCATTACCTGAATACCGATCTCTTAACAGGTATGCATGTTTAGTTGCAGAGTCCATCCGTGCACCTGTATTGCTACCTGAAACTGTGGAGGGGATTGCTGGAGTTGTAGATTGTACTGTTCAGAGCGATGAAGATGTTCTTAGGCATCTTCAAGGTGCAGAAGAGTACCTATATGTGTCTGGCATTGCAGTGCGCTCTAAGTTTAGGTAAGTTTTCAATGACAAAATTATATTAAAAGATGGCTAATTTAAATATAAATATAAATTATTGCTTTGTTATTGTTTCTATAGCAGCTAACGTGGCATCTTATAGGAATTATTTTATATCTGTTGTATTTGACTTATGAATAACTTTTAAACTTTTTTATTTTGATTAAATACAGTTAATTATATTTTACAATTAGTTCTTTCTTAACTAGGGGTGTAAATGAGTTGAGTCGAGCTCGAGTCAGGGTGTGTTCGAGCCGTGCTCGACTGTCAAATACCAAACTTGAGCTCGAGCTCGACTCGGCAAGGGAAAATGAGCTCATTGAGTCGCAGTTCGAGCCTGTTAATGAGCCACGCTGCTCTCGTCAATGTCTGCGTCGTCCGTGTCTTCCCGCCGGCACAACCCCGCGTCCGAATGAGCCTAGCGCTTGCGTCGTCCCCCTGCATAAGTGCCTACTTTATTTTCATTTCTCCGCCAAATGAGCCCCACGCCTGCTTCGTTTTCATTTTCCCGCCGGCATGAGACTCGTGGTTTCATTTTCCCATCGCAGTTACGCGAGCTGCTCGACGAGCTCGCGAGTCGAGCAGCGGGGTGTTTGAACTCGGGCTCGTTAAGCCGTCGAGCTCGAAATTGTGTTCGAACTCAACTCACGAGCTTGATAAGCTCGACTCGTCGAGCTTGTTAACGAGTCAAGCCCGAGCCGGCTTGACTCGGTTGCACCTCTATCCTTAAATACTTTTTGACTATTAGAGTAGACAACTTGTTTTTCTAGTTAATCTATTTATATTCCATCAAACTGTATTACATCATGCAAAAATTTAAAGTAGGTACATTAGGCATTTGTCACAACCATAGACACGACAGAACTAATATGGATAATAATATATTGGGATACTGTGGATTATCTATTGTAAATTGACGTAAATGGAAGCAATTAATGCTTTTCACACTAAAATTCTTTCAAGTCCCTGGAAATGTTTTTCATCTCATCTATATTATAAAAGTTTGGCATGTTGGATTCTGATAACGGGTAAATATATCTCAGAAAATCTTACACTATATAGACTCACTCTCTTTCTGGAGAAATTATTATGTGCAGAGATCAAACACAAAATGCCATCTAGAGATCAATCAGAATGTGCCACGTTAACAGTACCGAGCAAGGGGTGACGTGGTATATTTTGATTGATCTCTGGATGGTATTCAACGTCCGCACAAAATAATTAATCCTCTTTCTGACTTTCGTAAGCTTGAGTGATGCACTTCTAAATAGTTCATCCAAAGCTGAATTAGATCAAGCTAGCACAAAATGTTGAAGTTTGAAACTAATTGTAAAATGACAGGAGGCAGAAGGTAGGAACTGTGCTGCTTAAAGCTTGTGATGCTTTGTCACAGCTATGGGGTCATGACTATATTGCTCTGAGAGCTTATGAAGATGATTTGGCAGCCAAGAAATTGTATTCGAAGGCTGGTTTTAAGATTGTTTCTATAGATCCACATTGGATTACTTGGATTGGAAAGAAAAAACGCATTCTTATGGTCAAATCCTTTGTTTTATAGTGGAATTTAATCGTAGAAAATCATTACTCATACAGGAATTGTTATGGAATTTGATTTGATGTTCCATGTTGTTGATAGATGTTGTATGTGGTTCATGAGAGTTTATCTTCTTGAATGACTTCCCTGGTTCTCTCAAACAAATAAACATTCTCCTATAGCTGATGATACTAAATATTTGCCTACTAGGTTAATAATGTCCATTAGCTCCTACACTTGATGCCCTTTGGTCAATGTCTAAAGTTGATCAATATCCGCCAACATCCAATTTTACATGTACACTAACATCTAGGCTTCATTCAGAACGATTTGCTTCCTATTTTTTAAAGCAAATTTTTAGTACAAAAAATTTAATTTTTATATTAAAAAACTGCTTTAAGAAGCAGCGAAAAAATTACACCAAACAAAACCCTAAACTCTTAACTTCCACAGTTATCCTTTGCTATGCCTCATTGACTTCATAGGTTTTCAACATCCTCAACTAAAATATCAAGAGAAACTTTGTCAAACTCAAATTCTTACATTGTAGTTTAGGGTTTAAAGAATATGATGTGAAAAATTAAAATTTTATATTTGTTAAAATAAAATAACTTAATCTAAATCTATTCTCAATAGGCAAACGACTTAAAGCAAACAATAACAACATCAAGAAGTGGGATTTGCTACATGAATCTTTTTTTTTTCTATTTTATATTATTAAAGCAAAGATATGAGATATAAGGAAATATATTTTGAACTATACAAGTTCAATTTTTTTTAAAATTTTAAATTAAATTTTTAAAAAATTTAAAATAAGATATCTAATGTTCATTTTAAGTGTTTAAGTTATATTAATTATTAAATCAATATGTTTTCTGTTATAAATGCTGCAAATGCCACATTATTTAGCTAATAAATCCATCATCAAATTTCAATATACTATTTTCAATAAACAACTAAAAAAACTACAAAAAATTGCAACAAATAATAGTGAGATTGAAATATATGAAGCAAAACAAAGTACAAAATGTAGCACAAACACCCTAAAGAACCTCTCAAACAAACCTTTCATGTTACGATTATTCATATTCATAAATATCTTTATATAAATCATAGAAAAAAAAGGGATAAAATTTCAGTCGAATTCATACTTATTTACTGTACATTTAACCATTAATTACACATATTTTCCAAGAAACACTTTACCCATCTTAACATATATATATTTTACCAATAACAAATGAATAAAAATATCAAATAATAATATGTCACCAGTACAAAGTTTTTTTTTTAAACTGTTTATCAGAAGATTGAGCTAATGTCTTCTTACCAGCTCATGAATAATGTCAAGGAAGACTGAAAGAAGAGTTGGAGTAGGTTTTTCTTCTGGAAATTTTAGAAGACTTGCAATTTTTGAAAATTCCTTGTTGCTGAGAGAAGGATCAATCTGCTTGTTATCAGGCCTGGGTTCCAGCTCAAGAAGCTTGGGTGGATGCAACGCCCATTGCATAGCCCATATGGCTAATGGACGCATGTAGTTTAGCGACCTGTACTCGCCCTTAACATTCAATGCTTCAGGTATCCGGAAAGCATACCTGTCATACAAACCAAAGTTTTACTATAAATTTATATTTTTAGCAGAAAAACAAAACACACTTTCATCTGCCTTCTCTGCTATTTCTTTGATACTTTCCTCAAATTTGTTCAACTATCTAAATAAATAACCATAAATAAGTCATATGTGGTTGGCCGTAATTTCTCCGTTTCTGATTTCAATCGGTGAAAAAATTATTATTTTAATCTTTGTTTACGCCACTTTTTCAAAATACTTTTTGCTACACCTCCGTATTTTTGCCGATCTACAACAACAATAACATCAAGCCTTTATCCCACTACGTGGGGTCGGCTGCATGAATCCTTTTTCTCCATTGTGTCATATTAAATGTCAAATTCTCATTTAAATCTAATAAAGAAAAATCATTCCTAATATTTTCTAACCAAGTCTTTTTAAGTCTGCCTCTATGTATTTTTGCCAATTTGAGAAGAAAAAAATCTGCTTCTCCGTTGAAATACCTCCATTTAAGAACGAAAACAACGTTGGGAGAAATCAAACAAGGCCTAAGTCGTATATGGAATGGTAGTAAAATACTCATTGAGTGCAAGTTCCTTTTATATGTTTGGTGATTAGTTGGTGCTGTTTTGCATAAAAGGCTCAGAGAAATAAAAAAATAACTGTATCTTACCCAAATCCTTCAGAAGACCAAGCAGCTTCGTGGATCCCCTGTGCAGTTTTGAAGGCTTGCTCTGTCATGCCTTCTTGGATCATGGTAGCAGCAACAGCAAATGTAATTCCAGACCATATTTCTCTAGCTTGCAATCCTAATGATCCAATCTCACCATTTGGTTTTATTCCATTAATGGCTCCCATCTTTCCGTTCATCACTTTTAAGACATTGAATTCATAAATCTTTGCAAGTGCACTTCTGGCTTTCTCTTCATCAACAATAGGCTGAAGACCAGACGCTTTGGCAAACCTGCAAGCGTAGTTGCGAGTTTGAAACATTGTAAAGTACAGAAAATGAATAATTTCAGATTAAATTCACATCAGTTCACTTAAAAAATATGTATCATGCTTCTAGTTCTATCAGCATAAATTCATTATAAAGCAATATAGTTCAACTTGTGACAGTCAATTAGTCAATTAATATAGATTTTTTTCATTCCCAGTAACACCCATTTAATAAAAAGGGTAGCTGGTGGTTGTTTCTTTGGCAATTTTGATTGTTTATATTTTTTTTGCTCCACACTGAGTCTCTAGGGTGAGATTTATTAGCATAAATTCATTATAAAGCATATACATCCATTGTAAATAACTGTCAAAGTCGATATAAAACTTGAGAAAAAAGTGAAAATGATTGATGAGTTGAATATTTGTATGAGGTCATTTTATTTCCAAGATACCTAATGCATCCAACGTAGTTTCTTGACTATTTAAATATGATTCAAAATAATCCCTCTCACAAAATCACTGTAATTTGAAGGAGGAAGTGTGGAAAGAGTTAATGAAATATTCATCATGTTAAGTTCAAGGAGGGAGTGTGGAAGGAGTATTTGTTTGAAAAATGATATTTCCGCCAAATTCTATTTGAGGAGTTCATGTATTGTAGTAGACACATTAGATAGTGCAACAATAACAACAATCCTTTATTCCATTGTGGGGTTGGCTACATAAATCTTTTTTCTCCATTGTCATATTAAGAGTCAAATTTTTATTTAAATTTAAGAAAAAAAAGGATATTTTTAATATTTTCTAGCCAAGTATTTTAAGGTCTACCTCTATCTTACTTAACATAAACCAAATCCAATACATCTATTTCATCATCAGTTTGAGGGGTACTTTTTTATCACACAACATGCCCAATGCATGCCTTCACTTCAACCATCCAACTTGAATTATACTAATAATATCATCATCTATTTCATCATCCGTTTGAACAATGGATTCAATATACCTAAAACGTGTAATCTTATTAATGACTTGATCACCCAATGACACATTAGATAGTCTAGGACTAATTTTACCCCATATATATAATTCAGAAACCATTTGCCTTTTTTTTTTTTTTTAATAAAACCTAATCTATAATACATAATCTACACCAACTTATTGAGGAAAAAGTAGCATACCAATGTCCAGCCAATTGGTCAGCTTGGATTGCTGAGTTTTGATACCCACTGCTGTCATAATTGAAATAAGACCCATTCCATAATTTGCTATAAACAGATTTTGCCTTTAAATATCTGTTCCAGAAATAATCTTCAGAAGCTTCATCACCAACTAAACGAGCCAAGACTGAAGCAGCCTGTAAAGCAGCTACCCAAAGACCTCCGGTATAGGCACTCACCCCATAAGCTGACCACATATCATATGTTTGATCAGGGCCACCATCATTTTCAATCATTCCATCTCCATCTTTGTCAAATTGATCCATATAAGCCATTGCAATGTAAACAGAAGGCCAAACGGCATGGGCAAAAGATTTGTCACCTGTAGCCACGACATCTCTATACACTTGAAGAACAAATTTTGGATTAAGATCTTTCCATTTATTCGGGTCATGGAGGTTATAAGAATTTGTCTCAAACCATGGATCATTTTGTCCAATATCATGAGGAACTGCTCCAAAAACCTTTCGTGGAACCTTCTTGTGACCATGAATGGGTTTGATCTTCTCAGGGTCATGCATCAGCACTGCCATAGCAAAGTCTCTTTGGATACTTAACTCAAGTTTTGGAAATAGCATTAGGAGAGAGAAAGACGAGTAAAAATGAACATCATAAGTGTTGAACATATGATACTCGCTTCCTTCGAGATATAGAAATTGCCCAACATTTTCTTCTCCCTCGAGAAGCAATGATGTACCCAACGCAGCCTTTGACACCATAGGAGACTGCACACCCTCAAACAATGAAGCCATGTTGGTAAGAATACTAGTGGCGGTGTTATTTACTATGTTATCAGTCTTGATTTTCTTATTTAAGCTTGAAGGGTCAAGGTGGAATTTCCTTTCTTCAATGCTAACTAGATTCAAGATAGAAGGCAATCCATCTGTCAAGGAAAAAAAGACTAAGCTTCGAACAATGAGTCGAATCAATATACTTAAAAGACATTGGATTTTTTATCCCAAATTACCAGTCCAAATTGCTCCACCAGCATTGAGAAAGTAGAGTTGATTGAAAAGAGTAGTTGGGTACCTGGAAATCACATTTTAAGATCAATATACTTTCTAGTTATCTCTTGTAAGTACACGAGTTTGGAAGCTACCAAGAAGGAAGACTCTTGTCCTGTAATATGGGTGTTTGCCAATCTTCAATCTGTGCCTCCCAATTGCCATGATCTAAATTTTAGAAGGGGGGGAAAAACTTGTTAAAGGATTCTAAATTATACGGAGTTTTGCTTTACAATTAAGATGTAAAACTGGAAGTTCAGAAGTTAAAAAGCATGTCATAGCTAACAACTTGCTAAAAATGCACTGTAATGCTAAATCCATTCACGGTATAAGTGAAAACATGCAAGGTTTTGTTGCATTTTTAATTGTACAATCATGATTCAGTGGAATCATCAGGAATCAATCTTTATTGATGATGAATCTAATAGTAATTTAAGCACAAAAGGTTATAATTTTATCTGCCATCCCTTACAAATGTCATATTAACACCAGTAAGGTCCTAAAATCCATTTAGTTTTGCCTATTTTCCAGCTAACAAATAATTTGCTAACAAAATATACGAACATTCTTTGAACCAGGCTTTCCATTTTAAAAAAACTCTCAATACATAAATATAGTAGATTTAGGCTTCGTTTGTGACAGCTCTCTTACTGTTTTTAAGCAGTTTTCTAGTACAAAAACTCTTCAATACAAAAAGCAGTAAGAAAACCGTCCCAAACAAAACTTTCAGCTACTTAGAAAAATGGGGGCATACAACGTTCAAGGCTCCCTAGCTTATCGTTTATTATTTCCTGCTTTAGTGCGGGGACTTTCTATAATTGGAACTATGATCTCCATATAACAATGGAATTAAAAATTATTATTCATGCTTGGTGCAGTCAAAACTATTAAATTGTTCAACGCCATCAATCCGTGAGTAATAAACAAAAACGTAAAATATGCTTTAGGTAAGGTTGTTAGAAACACCTTGTTAAGAAATTCTAGTAGAATTGAAATGACTTGGATTATTGGCCATGGCAATCTTTTACATTAGGACTTACATTATAGAAACATGAAATGAAAACTCACAATTACTTTTAATACTTACAAAAGTCTTTGTTTAGATAAGGCTTTGTATAATGCAAATAAATAAACTAAGAAATTCAACCTGCATGACTCTAAATACAAAGTTGGTACAAAGGCATTTCATGTAATTCCATCCAAACAACAGAGATTACTATATCACACAATACAACTAAAAATATAAACTCTTTATCAAAGATATGATGTTAATGCTACTTTTATAAACCATCAAATACCACTCATTTGTCTTGACCTTATAAGCATATAGATTCTATTGTGGCAGATCAATCACCATAGAACCCGACATTAGGACAAAAGGAGGTGGACATCTCGAATCTAATGAACACAGTCTGCAGTCAGATGAGTACGTAGAGAGATCACATGAGAAGACAACTAGACAAAGAAAGGCTCCCAACATTCCGACAGGTTTATTAAACGAGTCGGATTCGGGTTGAATCATCAACCCAGTTTTGAACCGTAGGCGACCGTTTAATATTTTTTCCTTTAAATTTTGTTATTTCTTAGTATGATCATCTTATTTTTTATTAATTAATTTTAATTTTTTTATTAACAAGTTATTAATTTTTTAATCAAAATGAGTTATCAAGTCGAATTCAGGTCATTTGGGTTTGCTAGTGGGTCTTGTTCGAGTTGATTGAATTCCGATCAGACACAAAAAACGACTTGTTAACTCTTTTTTACGCCCCTAATTCTTAAGAAAATATTAAAACATAATGGAATTTTGGATAGTCTTATACTGTTGAGGTAGGAAGAGATCCAAAACGACGCAAAACCTCTTGCATTAAAAAATTTTCCCATAATATATTTGGGAATTAAATAATTCTAAAATATTTTAGGGAACTCCAAAATTAATAAAACTTGTATGGGAGTTCCCTCGGTCATATCTACAAAAAAACTTATAGAAATTCCATGTATTTTGATTCCAACAATAAAAAACTTCCCAAATTGCTCTTAAATTTACAAAATATAAAAATCCACAAAGATAAAAGAGTTGGAGTAGGTATGAAACTTTCACATGTGAACCATAATAATATGAGTAGAACTATGCCAAATCACTTGTCCATATATAATTAAATCTAAATGACTGAAATCAAAATTTTAAGTGTTTTTAATTTTTCTGGGATGCATGCTACATTATTTTGTTTGCATTTACTGTAGTGTGAGTGTGTGGCGAACTTTCTGTTCTGAAGATAAACCATGCCATATCAAATATTGCACTATTATCATCATCACCTTAGGGAATCAATAAAGAAATTACTTTTATAACTTAAGAATTTATAACTATTGCTTCCACCTTTTAGAATTTAGATGAAATGACTCATAAAAAGGAAGTCACAGACTTCGTAAAGACTAAAAATGAGCAGAAACCTCATAATTTTACAACAGAATGTGATATTTTCATAATTGTAGAAGAGTTACCAATAATGGCATCATGCACAAGATTTGCAGCAGCATCTTCACTAGAACCATAAAATCTGGTGTAACGCCTGCAAATAAATTACCATCAAAACACTGGTTCACACTTGATCCTGAACAAATACATAAAAACGTACACAAATCTCACCTGTGATGGGTTCTTCCATTGATAAATTTTACTTGGGGACAAGCCCATGACAAAGCAAATGTAACACTACGAACTGCTTGGGCAGGAACAGTCACTGAAGCTGCAACAGCTGCTCCAATGGACGATCCAGGATCTGAGGGGTTTGGTGTTTCATTTCCATTTAGCTCATCGAAGGACCCATGCTGAATTATAAAAGATGTATTACGTCTTATGCAAAATCAACAATAAGTTCCCATAAACCTCAGCATCCTTCAAAATAGTCTTGATTTATTATTCATATGTAGAACAAGTAAAAAAAAATTGTGAAAATAAAAATACATCAGAAGTATATTTATACAGAAAAATGAAGTATGTTGTAGATATGCTCAAATCGCACATAAAATCTGTGTCTGGGACAAATAAAAAGGAAAACAAACCAAAAATCAAAAGAAAAAAAGACAAAGAACCACTAGGGTAGACCATGTACTTTAGATCATAAGGGTGCAGAAAATCTTATTAAATGCATACATCAAAAGCATGCAAGAATCCAAAATTGTAAAGCATAAGAAAGGAGGCCTAGGACGACTTCATGACACTAATACGTGCAAACGTACATGAAGGCCTTTGTCATTAAAGCATGAAACATGAACTACATAAGAAGATGATTTTCTTTGTGATGTCATTCAGAGAGGCCCGTTAGCAAAATTCATCCATATAGAATTTAGTGGAAGTTCCTGTGAAACCCCTTAAGAAAATAAAGTTGAACTGTCAAACATCGAGACGTCTTTTAGTGTAATGGTTATACTTTCATTAGAAACTTCAAAGTTAAGTATGCTTGTACAAGAGCACTACTACGATGAGTCACACAAACGGAACAATACCATAAGATCATCAGGTCAAAGCAGATATTATCTCGATAGTTAAGAATTTGAGCTATTATAGTTTCTCAAAAAAGTGATTTTATTTGAAGAGGATACTCAACAAAGGTAAATGAGATATTTTGCTAAGGTTTTCAATGAAGACTGTGAAAATGCAATTGACTTTAATGACCTTAGTATCCTAAATGAAAATAAAGATTTTTGTTTTATCGGTATATTAGTAAAACCGAAGTTAGAGAGGCTTTAAAGAAAATGAAGTGTGGAAAATCTATTGGAAGTTGGACCTGATGATATTCTAATAGAGGTGTGGAAATGCTTAGGAGATGAAGGAATTTCTTGGCTTACTAAACTTTTTAATATTATTTTGAAGACTAAAAAGATGTCAAATGAATAAAGAATGTGTTGATTCCTATTTTTAAGAATAAAGGATGCACATGATTGTGCAAATTTTAGAGGTTATAAGTTAATATCATACTTTAAAACTATGAGAGAGAGTTATGAAGCATAGGCTGTGGCGTGATACTAATGTTTCTCAAAATCAATTTGGATTCATGTCGGGTAGGTTTACTATGGAAGCTATACATTTATTGAGAGGTTTGATGGAGAAGGATAGAGAGAATAATGAAGATCTACATATGATATTTATTGATTTAGAAAAAAACATATGATAAAGTTCCAAGAGAAGTGATATGAAGAGTTCTACGTAAGAAAGGTGTTAATAATGCTTATATTCAAGTCATTAAGGATATGTATGTAGGAGTTTTTACTTGTGTTGAAACACGAGGTGGTTTGACCAACTATTTTCCTATTTCAGCTGGATTACATTGAGGATCAGCCTTAAGCCCATATCTTTTTTTGCTTTAGTCATTTTCAAGAGATTGTACCCTAGTTTATGTTTTTTTATGATAATATTCTTCTTGTCGATAAGAGTACAGAAGGAGTTGAAGGTAAACTTGAATTATGGATGTCAACTTTAGAGTCTAAAGGCTTTCGTTTGAGTAGATTTAAAACTGAATATATAGAGTGTAATTTTAGTAATAATAGATCTAGTGGGGGCATTGTGACTTTGGTGATCAAGTCATTAATAATAGTACACATTTTAGATATCTTGGGTCTATTGTTTCGAGTGATAGTAAAATAAATGCGGATATTATTAATAGAATTCAAGTTGGATGGTTGAAGTGGAGGAATGCATCGGGCTTGTTATGTGATAGAAAAGTCCCCCTCAAACTTAAGGGACAATTCTATCAGATGGTGGTGAGACCTGCAATGCTTTATGGTGTAGAATGTTGTCCATTAAAAGAGAAGCATAATATTAAGTTAAGTGTTGCAGAGATGAAAATGCTCAGGTGGATGAATGGGTTTACTCTTAGAGATAGGATACGAAATGAGCATATTTGTGAAAAGGTTGGAGTAGCTTCAGTGAAAGATAAGATTAGAGAGAGTCGCCTTATATACTTTGGTCACATAAAATGGCGACCTTCTGCTGACCCGGTTAGGAAAGTAGATGTATTAGATTTAGTTTATGTTAAGAAAGGAAAAGATAGAAATAAAAAGACTGTTAGAAAATATTAGAAATGACATTTTTTTTGTTAAATTAAATGAGAATTTGACTCTTAACAATGGGGAAACAAGATTCATGTAGCCGACCTCACATAGTGGGATAAAGGTTTGATATTGTTGTTGTTATTGTAAAGTTTCATATACTAACCGTTGCACTTAAAAGAACAAAATTGAAGATTAATATCTCTATTGCAATCATTAGAAGGCATCAAGATCTTTCGTTTTCATGGGGAAATAAATTTCCAGATTGCATGATTGAACCATTTCATTGAATTTATTCCACCAGACTCATAAATATTGACCTTGATGCACAGACATTAGTAGAGTGGTAGAAGACAGCTTCTCTCCTACAGCTGCCGCCTACTACTGCAAGCCGCATAAAATGAAAGGGCCTAGATTTTAAGATGATTTCATTAGTAGGCAAATGTCATTCATTTGTATATTTTTTGGATAGATTTTAGGTGATTTCGAGCACAAAATAACTTTAACAAATGCCCATAAGCATTTTTATTGAGGTGATAGGATGCATTCCAAATACCCCTAAACACCTTTACTCTAGTATTTCTTTTCTCATATAAGGCTAGGTATCATTTCTTTCTATAAATTTCATTATAAAAGATCAAAAGTCAAAATAAAATCCCGAATAAATGACTACATATCAACAGTAAAATGAATGAAGGAAATAGATACAACTAGTCATCACAGTTTCACTATAGAAGCTGCAACTTGGCTGCGTGGAAGTATCTTGGAATAAGAAAAAATTAGTACTGGAAAGGAGCTTTAAGGATAATCATGTATTCAAACATTAAACTTAAAATAGTGTTTCTGCATCAACATACCTTTATAATTTCTTCCCACATATCACTTGCTGTAAATCCTTGTGCATTTCCAGATATTATGAAATAAGGGCATTCTGAAACATGAACATCAGGTGTCTCTTGACAACCTATTGCAAATGTCACTGGAGGTCGTTCATTTGCCGTTCTGCATTCATAGAATTGAATCAAGACTATGCGTGGTAAGAGAAATTACAGCATGCCATTTAGACTAGAATATGTATGGTAAGATAAAGTATAGTGAAGCCCAAAACTCAAGTTACCTGTGGTGTAAAAGCACTCCACGGATGCCATCTTGTAGACTTCAGTTTGCAAGAAAAAATGCAGCAAAATAGTCAAAAAATAATAATTCAAGAGAATTTCAGTGAAATAAGGTAGCGAAAAATAGTTCCAGGATTGTATCAAAATATAATTTTCCTTCATCCATGCTATGACCACAAAATGGATCAAATAGCTATTTTCCACCTTCTGAATGAATAATAAATAAATAATATATGGCATTTGTCAACTTAATAGCAAGCTTAATGTGCTAATACATCATTAAAAATGAAGTGAAGACGATCTACCATCTCTTCCAAGCACAATTGAAAGAAAAATTGCCTAGCATGTGACAGAGTCAATCACACATATACTAAAGTGATAGTTAATATTTAAAAAGAAGATTAAAAATCTATTGAAAGAAGAAATCAACAGGCCGGCTGGCTAGGAATGTAGTGAAAATAGGATTGCCTCCACTTTATGATCGTTTAATCTTGTCATTATAAGATTTACTTAAAAAGTGTTGGTCATGTGGAATTCATATAACGTTCTCAAGTTTTACAAAATGGTATAGCAAAAAAGCCTATAACTCTTTTTGATCTATCCTGAGCCTAAAAGTAAAGGGAAATTTTTGTTAGTGACTTGAGACCTGTTATGATTGTAGCACCTAATATGGATGGCACCAAGCATGTCAAGCAACGAAGCTAATGCTCATTCACATTGACTCATTCTACTATGACTCAAGACTTTTGTTCCTCTAAAAACAAAAGTTTGTTAGCCATTCATCAATACCCTAAAATATGTTGGATATCTTAGTCATGGAACTGGATACCTGCATCAGAACAAAGTCCCATTCCATTGCTACATAAAAAGATATTCTAGTTGGGCTGCTTTGCAAAGGCATTGCTTAGGAGTTAAGACCAATGGGTCAAATGACGAGTGCACGATCAACTTTGCATGCTCCATTCTTTGACCCTTCTCTAAGCTTAGCAGGCAAGCTACCTTAATCCGCCTTCAACTTCATTTCATATATTCAGAAACTCCAACAAGCCCTAAATTTTATTGCTACTCAAACTTTGGCAAGGAAAGCATTCTATGCTTTCAGATATCGCAAGGAGAAAACGTCAATTTTCATATGAATTTGACTCTCATTCATGGAGAAAAGAAGGCGGGCTTTATTTGAGCTAATGTTATCTTTAGGGAAGTCAAGGAGCTACCAAAGGAATGTAGGAAAATCAACAAGCTACTCAAATAATAATAACTCTAACACCCTATGAAGCACTCAATACGAATAAAAGAAACATAAAAATCAACAAAGCTAAAACCCCAAATGGTTGGGTTAAGGTTGTTGATGATGATGATTCTGTGAAACACTGAGTATGCAGATCAGGTGAAAATAATGCTCAATCAGATATACAATTAATGACTTAATACCACATATTTATAAAAGGAAACAAAGTGCTGTTTGAAGTTACTTTATAGCTGAGTACTAACAAAATTGAAATTCAATTCTCTAAATTCTTACATTATTCTGGAGTTGGAATGATTCCCAGAAACTTCAGAGCTCCCACCTACAGAGTTCTGCATGCATAATGGAGCCTTAATTAATTATTTTTCTATTAACAGTACTTTTTCAAGGACAAAATTTAAGAACAATAGCATCTTGAAACAAATCGCACATAAAAAAAGTACTGATCCCATCAATGAGATTAGTGGAAATATCATGAATTATATACTTGCCTACTTGGGAGTAATCAAATCAAAGACCCAAATAGTTAGAATACGATCAATGATGATGGTGAGGAGAATTTTAGAAGAGTCCCAGTATCAAACTTACAGCCCATGTAAAAAGTAGAGTGATTTCTGCAGGTGTCTTTCCTGAATTGAATAACTGGAAGCAAATAAAAATTGAAAAAGAGATCACGATTGTGACACAATTCTGGAAAAGATAGTGCACCAAAAGAGAAGACAATCATGTTTTTAATATAAATATCCATTAATTTCTTACAGTGAATGTAAAAACTGCAACAGGATAGCTACTTTGTTGATAATTATGGGGTATGACTGGTGAAATTTGCCGGCACGTTATTTTGAGGTCAGGGTCAGGTTCACCTACAGCAATAACAAGAATGTATTTTATCAAGAATCCCATAAACAGTTGGCGAGGTAAAAATTCACTTCTGCCAAATACCATCATAGACAGTCCATGATCTTGGATATAAAGCATGATAAGTAGATTTTTCCCCACTGAGGTTCCAATCCCAAGATTCAATACCAGGATTTCTACTCCCTCTGCAGATAAACGATACAGTTATCTTTCAGTACAATTCTCAATAAATTGCACCATAACAGGATTCTAGGATGGTATATTGCAAGTAATACATTTAGAGAAAAGTATCTTTTATCTTTTAATAAGATAATATTGACTTGCCTAGGAATTTGTGCATTTCTTGGAGACAATACACTAGAATACCTCTTGCCACCGGGTCGTGAAATGAAAACCTGGTAAAATTCAGATCCAATACCAAATGAAACTTTAACCCATTTTGATGAATAATATTTACTAAAATGAAGTTCAAAAAACTATTGACAAGTAATGGTTCTCAAAATTCATGATACTGGTACAGTCAATTCAGTCATACACTATCGGTTCCTGCTCTTCGTAAAATGCCTTCATTTAATGCATTTTTTAAGCCTTGAAATTTTATTTTCATACTATAGTAAATTCATTACTTTTTGTCAGGCACTGGAGGATTAAAGTATGGAAGCATTTGACTAGTCCACATAAAGCTCCACCACTAGAGTAAACCTGTCAAACTTTTGTAAAGTGATGTTGCACATACAATAAATTAAGTTACCTACCTTGGATCCAATTAATCAGCGTGCTAACTTCTGCCACAGTTGTCAGAGAAGCGAACCTTCTAGAATCTCTTATACCATACTTTTTTTTTGTTCTATCAAGCATTTATGATTTCATTATTGTTGAGACAACTAACGTGGCCAATGAAATTTAAAATAATCATATTGCAGCATAAGAATGGCATGGTCTCCACTGAATTAAAATTTTCATTTTTCTTCACTGTACACTCTAATCATTTTGCCATCAAGTCATTTCTCCTAACGCTCGTCATCACCATACTGACAACTTACATAGAGTGCCCTAAAGCTTTTTAAGTTCACATATTCATAAAGTGTTACAGCATGATTGACCAGATCCATAATTAATATCAATGGTGCCATCTAGGAAGAAAACACTGCACTAGCTAGTAACAGCAACGTCAAATAAAATAAAATAAAAGCCGTAGGCTGGCCAAATAGCCGGATATTTAAAGTGTCTACTACATATGATGACTTTAGTGAGTCCTCCTATGTGAACAGCGCCCAAATGCACAAGTTTATTGGAGGTAGGCCTAGTTTTTAGTTCAAAGTTAAATATAATTAAATACCAAATGTTAAAAAGTGAAAATGTTTTTGTAAACAATTTCCTACATCATGTAAATTTCATATGCAGAAAGACTCACAGAAAACTGATTAGCTAAGACAGGGCTTTCTTCACAAACTTCAGGAAACAATTGCCAATTTTGAAAATATCCTTTGTAACTTCTTCCAATGCTTCCTGCACTGCATGTTGCAACTTAAAAATGTAAGAATACATGAAGAGTATCATGGATTACAAGACATTGCAACTCAAAAGTTTAGCACCGTTAGGAATTTGACATAACTAGGTAGTCAATATAGCTTAAGACAAAAACAATGTAAATTAGCAAACCAGACAAAAAAAAGAAGATCAAACCGTTGGAGAAAACAACCCGTCCTTAATAGAATCATAATCAGAGGCGTATGGTAAAAGGTGCACCTAAATTTTATCTCAATTTTCAAACAACTTGAAAATTATCAAAAAAAAAAATGCAAAATTCTACGTTCATTAAGATTATTTTGATATATAGAAGCACACCGAGGGGGGTGACTAACAAAAAAGTGCAATTAAAATTTCTCTTAAAATTTATATCTCATTTTTCACAATCTTAAATATTATCATAAAAACTTTATAAAATTGTACACTTCATTATGATTATTTTGATATGAACCATCAATAAAGATAGTACCTATTTTGGAGGTAATATAATGAGGATCAAAAATTTGGTCCCTCTTAAAATATGTCTACACCATATAAACTGATTTTATATTTGTGCTCGTAACCTGATCGTAAGCTCTACGTTATTCGTAATACCAAGCGAGTAATAATTTAAGATCATTGAATTCACATTGTGTTAGACCTTTACATTACTTTAATTTAACCCTAACTCCCCCCCGCGCTTCGTACCCCCACTAACCCAAAATTCCATGAACAAGTCGACCCTTGAGTTGCTAATTATGGTAAGCACTATGTGGCATAATTACTAATGTTCATGGCAGTTTTGATGATCACTTTCAAAATTAATGTTAGTAAATATTTATGATTTTCAAACCAACCATGCATAATTTTTCCAAATGTTTCGTATTTTTTATTTTATAAATTGGTAGATGTATTATCATTTGCTCTCACTTTAGTTATTTATCCGTGCACCTACTCCTAACTGATCCTATGTAATATAGATATTTTCATCTTCCCAAATCATAAAAATGAATAAGAATAATGAGAGATTACACATATCTATTTATCCCTAGACGTGATGGCTTCCTGAGAGAAAAGTAAATGTGATACCACCATGTGAACCCCGAAACGATCTTTCTTTAAGAAAAAATATATAAATAGTGTTGCGAGGCAAATTAGAACCCTGACCAATGTTTTAGAAAAGATAGCTATGACCGAGCGAAACCCGAAAAGTAAAATCCATTAAACCTGGCTTTGAACTGTGCTTAAAAGGACCAAGGAGATACGAGTTATGTTCATTTGTAACCTAAAAATAATCTGTCCTCATCATATGTCCTTAACCCCAAAAGATAGTAGCCAATACCAAAAGCTTTGAAGGCGAAATTCTACATTATTCCATCCCCGAGGTACCCACGTTTTATATATAACGAGATGTTATTCATCCGTCCCTAAAGAGCATTGAAACTACTCACCTTTACCACAAGGCAGTGCCTAGCGATACTGAGCAGCCGCACCAAGAAATGATCTTCAGCACACCAACGACTGCCATGAGAAGTGTTGCACCGACGCCGAATTTGGAATCTAACCTGAGCCACGGAGAAGGTCGACGCTGGTGGAGTGAGACACGGACGGAGATCAGGACCGATTCGACTGGTCCACGAATAGTCCTCGAATTGACAATCTCGTCGATTGACTCTTCAGCCGGAGAGTTCCGAAAATGTCCGGGGAGGATGCGTGTTCAAGTAATCTTCAACGGTGTCGTCGCGAATTCAAAACCCACATTTAAAAGAACGGCGATTGCTGGATGTCGGACTTGAGCCTCGATCATCATGCACAAATCCGAAATTCCAATCGGATTCCGCCATTGCATGCTTGGCGTCGGAGAATTTTCCACACGAAGAGAGGAAGAACGTGGTGTTGAAAGAGAGTACTTGTCGTTTGATAAGATGGGAGAGGAGGGGAGAGGGCCGGCGGGAATCTCAAGGAGAGAGGGTGGGGGCCGGCGGGTGCAAGAGGAGGAGGCTAGGGCTTGAGGGAAAATTGGGTTTGGGGAATTATGGAAGGGATTACTCAAATCTGAAATTTAATTTCAGTTTGAGTAATTTAGAAGGGAATAGATTTGAATTTGAACTTCAAATCAATTCGAGTTAAGGCCTTAAGTGGGGAATTAATGGGGGGCTCAATAGGTGGAGGAGGCCGGCGGTTTCAAGAGAGAAGGAGGGATTAATTTAAAACCTGAAATTAATTTCAGGTTTTAAAGGAATTAGGAGGGAGTTCAAATCAATTAGAGTTAAGGCCTTAAGTGGGGAATTAATGGGGGGCTCAATAGGTGGAGGAGGCCGGCGGTTTCAAGAGAGAAGGAGGGATTAATTTAAAACCTGAAATTAATTTCAGGTTTTAAAGGAATTAGGAGGGAAAAGTAATTTGAAATTGATTTCAAATTCAAATGTAATTAATGCCTTAATGGGGCATTAAGGGAGCTCCATGGATGAGGCCGGCGGCTTCTAGAGGGGGGGAATTGGATGTGGGAGCAATGAAATAGCTACCAAATTAGCACATGAGGTTTAGGAAGGATTTGGATGAATTCCGTTTGAATTTGAATTTCATCATGAAAACAGACTTACAACTTTCCTAATTTGGAAATTCCAAAATTGGAAGTTTTGAAATTCAAATTTTGAATTTCAAAATTGGAATTCGTAGGGAAGGGGTTGAATGGGTGAGGGGAAGTTTCCGGCGAGGTGGTCGGTAGGGGTTGAGGTGGTGGTCGGCAGTGGTTTCCCAAGGGGCGGCGGCAATGGGGTTGAAGAGGGAATTCTTGTAGTGGAGGTGAAGAAAATGAAGGAAAATACGAACGCAATGATAGAGAACTAACCACGAGCCGCGGACTCTTCCAACGACTGGTGGGCCTTGCGATTTGCTCCCCTTGAGCTCTCTCCCTTCTCAAGCTCTCATGCAAGAAGAAGAAATAGAAACACACAAATTTTTCATTCAAATCTTCATTTCCTATTACAAGAGAAAAGACCCATATATATAGGTCTCAAGTATACATGAAGAAATAAAGACTAAATTGCCCTCAGGGCCCCAACATGACTCAACTCAACATAAGGGTACAAAAGGAATACATAAAATAAAATGCATAATAACTAAAATATAAGCTCTGAATCGTGGCCGTCGATCTGCGATGCTTCCGACAATACACCTGTTTGAACCTTGGATCGATGTCCTCATAGAAAGGTATTTATTTGAAACAGTTATAATATTTTGCTTTAAATTACATCTGAGAGTTTAGTTACTCTTTCAATGTACTGGAAATAGTTATTTTTAAAAATATTGGTAGACGAAATTTTAACTACCGTCTGACTGGATATTTTCATCTCGTTAATTTTGAGCCGGTTCATGACAACTTTTTATTTTCTTCTAGATTTTCTTTAGCAGAGCAATGATAGCCTAGAATGGTACATTAGCGGTTCTGCAAACATAATGTTGCAACACCTAAAATTGCCATAGTAGGTTGGGTCCCAAAAGAGTATTTCTACTTCAGATTTTGTTATTTTCTGCCTCAGTCTATTTAATTATTTGTTGTGACCACCAAATTGATTATTAGATTATTCAAATGAAATTTTCTTCTTTATATGCTAAATGTGTGATTGATGAATTATGCCTTGATAGTAATTCGCAAAATAAATCTGCCTTAACTTGTTTCTGTAACTCACATTCATCATTTCCTCATTTTTCTCCCACTCCTTTCCATTTGCTTTCCCCTTATTTGAAATTTGAAAGCTCAACCGAGTTTAAAAGGTGCCAAAGCACATATATCCTGTATTCATTAGCAAAAATCCCAGTTCTGAGCTGAAGCATGGTGCTTCTGACCTTTTGCAGCAACGTTCCTGTACTAGGTGAATCTAAATTCTACCAACAAATTTTAGCAGAAGCCTCACAAAGAAGATTGCATGATAGTTTTCTTTCTAGGTTTTAATGTTAATGATCAATCTTTTTTATTTTTCTACTGACAAATTTTAGAAGTTTCAATTATTACACATTTCATAACTTTGATCATTTTTCCATTGCATCTATTAGTATTTTATTTGGATTACTTTGCATTTAATCATAGAATATCAAATGATTGCCTTGAATCACATATGTACATTACCTGTCAATGTTTGTAGGCAGAAATAATTTTGTTTCACTTGGGAGATTCAAGAATTTATAAGAATAAGTTGCGCACGCTAGGTATTATGATATCAAATTATGTGATGAAGGCTAAGAACATACCCAATGCCACCTAAAGGAACGCCCAAAGAAGATGCAGCCTCCCACTTCTTGAAGGGATTATAACTGGCACTCTAAATCACAAAAGCAATGGTTACGTTACTAAAAGTAAATATAAGTTGAAAAAATATCTCATGTATACACAATGTCTTTATTCTAGAACTCACCCGTCCTTTCAAAGTTTCTGTGATGTAGCTATGACACAATTTCAAAACCATCGGACCCTTACAAAAGAAATAAAGTTAGATAATTTGATCAATATATGATTTGCATCACTTGAATAGACAAAAGATTATCTAAATGATTTGCTAAAAAGACCAGTGCATGACTGAAGGGATCTAAGTTCCAAAAGTACCTATAAAATTTTATTTATCATTATATCTCATTTATAAGAAAGAAATAGTAACATGGACCACAATCATGTATAGAAAATGATGAAGAGAATACAAAATAAGATCTGAAGTTAAATTCAATGGATAACTTCGAACTTAAATTCTATTATTCAAGTTAGTGTGAAGCGATAATAGTTCTATTTATCTTTACTCCATAGAGGAAGAAGAACAAGGTTAAAAGTACAAAAAATGAACAAGAACCCTTACCCAGGATGCAGGATGACGTTTCGGACTTGTTTATCTCAATATTTAGAGGCAGAATGTGCAGAATAAGGGCAATTGGACCCAAGTCAGGAGAAAAGAGATCAAGACACCATTTGAAAATATTATCCTATAATATTGAGATGTGTAGTTTGTTTTGTGCTGTGATTTAGAGTAAAATGTTGTTTCATGATACTAAGATTGTTGTCTAAATGCTATAAAAGCTAAAATTGCTTGGTAATAAAAATTGTGAAAAGCTAAATAACAAAAGTAAACACTATTAAACATTTCTATTATTAATTTAATATCCCAAACATTAACTAGCACATAATTATCAGAATATCTAATTTATTAGTCGGCCACTCACTCATAGATCAAAGCTTCCACCCAATCCCTCCCTCATCTCCCTCAGTTGACCATTTTCTATCTTCCTCTTCCTCTATCAGGGAGAGTTAAATTTAATGTTGTCAATAAATAAAAGTTAATTGGTACTTGTGTAATCATGATGAAATTGTCTTAATTGCCATAGTTATTAAAACACATGAGCATTTGAATACTTAAACTTAATCCTATATTGTAACAAAAACTTCGATTTACCAATTTAAATTGATTAACTACATGTATTCACAATTATAGGGGAAATATGCAGATGATGCGAAAAACTATGCATGAAAAAAAAGCTAATTATTAGTCTAAATATCCTTCAAATGTATATGTTCTAAAGCTAATTTAAATGATCAAAATGTACATGTTAGGATATTAAAAAAGCATCCATCTTAAATGATGAGAATAATAGCATTTGGATATGCTACTGCTGACTACAAACAAAGTGCTTAATTTACATAGGAAGAGGTTCGTGCTGATGCATTTTAATAACAACATAAAATTTGAAAGCAACCAATAATCAGCATGTTGAAATGTTTTCATTCAGCACAAAAATGATGTCCGAATGTTTGAAGCTCATCAGCAGCAGCTGGCTAATTCCAAAATTTTGGGGTTTTATGAATCCTTTTAAACCATTTATTCCTAAAGATAGCTAATATTAAGTGAAAAAGGGAATACATCTAAATTTAAACCAAAATAGAACTTTGCTAGACTGTTTCATGCTGAAAGAAATGCCATTTAAATATTATTACAGTACTAATCATCACAATTAATGGTTTCCTATAGCAGGAAAACTTAAAACAAAACTCATTGAAAAATTAGTTGAAAGTTTGGATCTTCAAGTATCTGAAAACCCTAATAAATGTTGAAAACTTACTAAATGGAGCTTCTCCATCATAGTTAGAGTAAATTCTGTGATACCCTTCCCCTCATCAGTTAATTTTCTTTGCCAGGCCAGTTGTGGGGGATTCCCAGGATCCATCTTAACCTAGAACAAGAAACTAAACATAATCTAGCTGGCATAGGATATTTCTATGAGCCTAGTCAGCAAATTTAAAAAAAAAAGAACTAGTTCAAGAATTTATAGACTTCGAGTAAGGAACAAACATACATTAATGAAATGGTTATGAAGCTGCAGTTATCAATACATGGAAGAAAACTGTTCTTGGTCATGGAAATCAAATCAAGCATAAGTTGAACAAGATGTAGCTTCTTAGTTGGAATAACAGCGAAAAAGCCACTCCAGCTAGAAAAGAGGTACATAACATTCTTATATCCTCTAAATTTAAGTCGGCCAAAAGACAACTTCAATATCGATATCGATACCAAAAAACTAAACAGCCTCCTTATACCAAATTCTCTTTTTACTGTTTCCAAAAATAGAAAGTGGCCACTGGTACACTTTCAGGAGACCAAATGGGCTGTTAACCTTACCAAAACTACTTCGTTATCATCTAGCCATAATTGAGACCATTTCTAACCACAATTGAAAATTTGGACAAGGCAGTTAATTGCAACATTAATTATAGAATAATATAAACCATTTATAACCACAATTTAGACAGTTCCGAGTTAGTTGCAACATTATAAGTACACTATAATTATAGACTAATATAAACAGAAAAAAGGCAAAAGCTAAGATATTACGCATTAAGATTGGTCAATCGAGTTTCTGTAATTGCATTGCTAAAGATGTGGATAAAAAAATGAATATTAATACACCTAACTTTCTCATACATGTAAAGCATTTTATTGTTTCCTAATCATGTGGCAAGCGAAAATGAGGATGCAATAAGGTAAACTGTTCTGACAAACAGAAAACAAAACATGAAATTTCCAAAGTGGGAAAATATTAAGGTAAATAAATTTAGTCTTGTAAAAAATTTAATGTCAGGAGTGCCATACCACAGGAAATATCAACAGCATCAACTAACTCAGAAGAATACTTTTCATTTTTTTCAAACCTAGTTACAAACAATTCATTATTTTTTTTTACCTTCTTTCACTGAAACAATCAGCAAAACCATGCAAAATAAAACCCAAAAAAGCCAGCTCAAAGTGCATGTCTAGGCTTATTTTTTTTCAGTGTATTGGACATGCTGACAAACTGGTTTTCTGCACTTAATATAATCTGCTGTTTTGATAAACACGATGCAAAACTTGAATGTTTTCTAAAATAGGAGATTTTCTGGTGAATAAATTTAGTTAAATAAATCAATCAAGCCCAAAGTGTCATACCGTGGTCGTATCAACAACTTCAACAGCTTCAGAATAATCTGTTTCATTCTTCTCGAAACCATTCATAAACATCTTGTCCTTCTTGACCTACTTTTCTCTGAAGTCATTAGCAAAATCATGCAAAACAAAAAAGATACCCATATAAAAAAGCACATCCGAATCTATTTTCTCAAATTTCATGAAACAAACAAATCTTGCATTAGAAGAACTGATTTTCTACATTAAATGCAATAACTTTACTTCAATAAATATAAATATGACGTTCTTGATTCAAAACAATTCACAAAAGAGTTTACGTGGATAAGGGTGAAGACATTCCCTTCAAATTGAGCAAGTGCACATAAATTCCTAAAAGTTCTACAAAAATACTTACATAAATAATCTTTTAACCGAAATTGCCAAAATGTATGCCAAATGTGAATAACAAGCAAGGAAACCTAGATCAACGCCAAGGTCCAAACTCCAAAGGTATCATTTCATATGAGGATAAAGTTCGGAAGGCAATGATTCTAGTTGCATATAATAATGCATCATTCTAAACTTGAATGAACAACCTTTTTGTAAAGAAAGAGCACGCCAAGGCTCCTGCCAATGTAGAGTTTAAGGAGAAATTGACATGTGAATTCTTACGAATATTTATATGAATCAAGGAAATGACTTCTAGGCCATAATGGAGACAAGACCTAAACACTTCTCGATGGTCATTCTCTAATAATATTTAGTACTTTCTTTTATATCTGAAGACCTACAAATAAAAATTTAAAATATCCTATGGTAGATTTCAAGAATCTTTAGGATTAGAATAAATTATTAGAAGACAATATATCTTCAAACGAGCCATAAAATAAAAAATAAAAAATTGAACTTTTTTAAAGCCATACTTGTTAAAACGTCAGGATCGAGGGTTAGCAGGTAAACTTCTTTGATCGCTTTTATACGATAAGATTGTCACGTCAGAGTTAAAACAATCACCAAACTAAAAAATTTCCGTTGATCCCGATAACCAAAATAAAACAATAGAAAAATTCCTAGCGGATGAAAAAGAACCCAGCCGGAGGAATCATACCTCTCCAAACCAGAGCAAGAATTGCTGAGCAGATCTGAGTGGATGGAGAGTGACCTTCATCACGAAGGATTATATATAGACCAAAAGGTCGAACACTGTTCAAATTAGTGGCCATCGTACTACGTTTTTCTCTTCTTCCTTCCGCACCTTTGACAATGGAACCACAGTCCCAGTCGCGTGATCTGAACGACTCTACTGACCAAACAACCCATTCCAAGTGGAAAAATGTTCACAGAAACCTTGCGATTCCGACAGTTTCCGTTGAAACTGGAAAGAAGGTGACGAATGAGATGAGGTTTTGGGGATTTTTAGAAAAAGGACAGGGGTTGACGGACACGTGTGTTCGAAAATTTTAAACCTTCATTAATCTGGTAATATTACTGTTGCGAAGTAGGCCACGTGAACATTTGGGAAATTACAGTCAGGTGGCCTTTTATCTCCTTCTTTATTCAACGATTCTGCAAATCACACAACTCTCCTTGGCCTATTGGTTGAGAGCTTAGACTTCCAACTAAGAGGTCCAAGGTTCGAGTCTATGTGTATGCGTTGTGTGTGTGAGTTTGCCTTAATTGGCCTAAATGTCCCAAAAAAAAAAAATTCTGCAAATCTGAACCAATTAAAAAAAAAAAAATCGAAGCTACTGCAGATAACAATTGCCACGTGAAAGTGGTAGTTGAGGGCTTTTATTTTCGTCATTAACCTAATCATTTGCCTGAGCTCAAACACACACACACTCTCTCTCTCTCTCTCTCCCTCTCTAACAATAAAATCCATCTAAGATTCTCCTCAGTTTTTTTCTCTTTCCTCCACTCTCTACGCTACGAGCTTATATATACTTATCTTAAGGCCTTGGCGCCTTGCTATCTTCTACAAGCAAAATTGAATCAAATATTTTCGAAGGTACAATGAGCATGGAGATCAGATATGGATGATCCTTGCTTGCAATGCCCACCCAAATGATTTTGTTACTTCCAAGCAGCTTGAACACAGGGAGTATCGTCCCATAAGGATGATCCAGGAAATCTTGGAATGATTTCAGTAGGCTGGTCCATTTCTCTTCTCTCTTTAAGCGTTGCTCAGATGCCTCTCCCACCTCCCATCGCCACTATAATCCCTAAATTTGCTGCATCGACTCGTTTAAGGGGATTCAAATATTGGTGGACAGAAAAGCCAATTACCAAACTTAAAATCTTTTTTTTCCTTGAAAAGAGTAACAGAAACTCGTCTCTTGCTGTCATCCATGTTTATTAATCCAAAAGCGCATAATCCATGATGAACAATGTTTGATCATTTAAGTTATTTTTCTTTAAAAAGATTGTTCATTCATATAAAACATATAACATATTTGCATTGCTTGCTACTCATTTCATCATCACCTTTTCTTGGAATTATCAAGACATTGGATGAGAACATCCATCGTATGCTGTTGGGTTTACTCTATCTTTCAATTAAAAAAAAAACATTTCAAAAGTTCTATCAACCAATGCTGTCTAACCTATCATGAACATTTTGAAAGACATTTGAATAATGCCAATACTTCTTTAATCGTTTCTGTATAACTCTCGATAAGAATATTTCTACGCAACCTAAACATTTTTCTCGGCACTCAAAAACCAAAACCAGGAAAAAAAAAGGCCGACGAAAGAGAGCGGAGCTAGAGGAACCATACCTTTCCGAACCCAACACAGATTCGCGGAGCAAAGCTGAGTAGGCAGAGCGACAGCTTCGCCGCCAAGCATTATATATGATCCAAGAGATCGAAGATTGTTAGAATCTATGACCATCTTCCTAAGTCTCATCTTCTTCCGACGGCGCCTTTGACAACGAAAAGCCACCCAATTTCCGCGTCGCCAGATAAGACCGCTGCTACAGCCCCAACAACCAAGCCCGAACGGCATATTACTTTAAAAAACTTCCGAAGAAATCCGGATCCCCCTTTGGATTCAATGGTGAGCCAAGAAAGCAGGTGACGATGGGATGAGGTCTTTAGGGCAAATTATTGGGTCAGGTGATTGAATGCAGAGATAGTCCGGATATTAATAAAATATTATTTTAAAATTAGCATAAGTAAAGCACAACTAAAACGCAGGTAAAGCGCAACTAAAGCACAAGTCAAAAAGCGCATGTAAAGCACAACTAAAACGCAACTAAAGCGCAAGTCAAAAAGCGCAACTAAAGCGCAAGGTGACACGACAAACGCAACTAAAGCACAAGTCAAAAAGCGCATGTAAAGCACAACTAAAACGCAACTAAAGCGCAAGTCAAAAAGCGCAACTAAAGCGCAAGGTGACGCGGCAAATTTTTATTGGATATCCGAACTTATTTTTCGCCTCCGGTCACCTGACCCAATAATTTGCCGGTCTTTAGGGCTTTTGATGGGCAAATTATTAGGAGGTCTGGACATCTAATAAAAATTTGACAGGTGGACTTTGTTTTGACTTTGGTTTTTTACTTGCATTTTTTTTACTCAAAGTGACAAATTTTTAGTGGATGTCCGAATCTATAAATAGGTCCGATGACCGGATGTAATAATTTGACCTTTTGATGATAAGGATAGGGGTAGATAAATGCACCTGTCTAGTCTCGGCATGCGAGGAAAAAAAAAGTCAATTTTGAATTTATATAAAAATATTTGTTATATTTAATTATTGTTGTCAAATATTAGGGAAAGGTGGGATGTCACGTGTGAATCGGGGAAGCTAGGGTTAGGTGGGTTCATTTTTATTATTATTATTATTCAAATTTTCATAAATCTCATCAAATAAAATAAATAATGGACTCGACTAACTCCAAACAACTTAGGTACCTTTATTTATTAAAAAATATTTGTTATAAAATTATAGAAAAAAATTAAGGCCTAATGATGTTCAAAGGCTCCCTATCACCACCAAATCATATTCAGCCTTGTTGCGTGCGAGAATATACGCGACGGTAGAGTTTGTAAATTCGCATCCTAGCGTTACACGAGTATTCCGCACACAAACAGAAAAGAGAAAGTGAACAACAAGGTTTTTACGTGGAAAACCCAAAAAGGGAAAAAACCACGGGGCCTCGCCCAGTTGTAAAGTTTCACTAGTGCTTTCGTAGATTACAAATGGCGGATTTTTGAAGTTTCCAACTAGCTTTTGTCTCGAGATTCGTGCCCGATTAAGATGATTTTGAGATGACGTATCAAGCCTCATGATTTGGTGCTGCACCAATAAAGCAATTACCATGAGGGATTATTCGGTGCAGCCTCTGGTCAGGAAGAACTATCTAGACTGTGAAGTGTGTGTACACTCATATATTCGAACAATTCTTTCTGTTTGGACTCCGCACATAATAATAATTCCATTGCCACAACTGCGTTAATATTATTTTGTATGATAATTTATTATGTTAGAGGCCCTCTAAGCTTATAAAAACATTTTATAGCATTTTTTTAAGTTATAAAAAAGGCCTTTGACATAAGTTGTGGCATTCCTTTTTTTTAAATAAAGGCGACAAAGATGATTTATTTGTTTCTATAGTTAGTTAATGTAATCAAATTAGCTAATTGTTTATGTATTTAGAATTTTAAGATGAAAAATGTGAAACTATAATTGATTGAGTTGGATCCAAGCTTATTTGATGAAACGTGATTATATAATATTTAAGAATATAGCATATGTGAGTGATGAAATTTTATAGAGAGAGAGAGAGAGAGCATTGAACTGAACTAGTGTCTTCAATAAAATTGGTTCGAGCAAGGCTTGATGGGACCCTTAGCAACAAGGAGAGACCCTAATCATGTAGAAAATATATGGAGAGCATACTTTAACAATTAGAACAAAGTTAAGCGTGCTCAAATGCTTAAACATCGATGTCCCTTTTAATATAATTATTGAAATTATATCAGAAATTTCAAACTTAAGCGTGCTCGTACACGATCACTCCTCGTATGGGTGGCCTCCTGAAAAGTAACAGTGTAACACCAACGATACAGAGCAGCCTTTTGATGTAATAATTGGAGTTTGATTAGAAACTAGAGCACTACATGGGGTCTTGGTTGGATACCCACGCTCTGTGCTGGCGAGCTTCCCCACCCATGCTCACCTATGATGACTTTCGGGATGACATACCCACCCATTTTCCACGCTTCTTGAATTCAAACTGTCATAGATTAATGGCCTTGAGATTTTTTGCCCTTTTCTCTGACTACAAACTTTCAAGCTACATATCAAAATTTATCGTGGTCACGACGTGGTTCAGTATTGTGCACTGCGTAGTAAGAATTACTGTAATATATTGCATGCATATGGTGATTAGTAATGTAAATCGGTTTGTCCCTGATGTTGAGTACCCACCCATATCGACCCACGAGGTCATGAGCGTACCCATGCCCATTGGGGATGGGTGGGTACGTGGGTGGGTGTGGGTATGGGTATGGGTACCCAATGCAGGGCTCTATTAGAAACTCTAAAGTTAAACGTGCTCATATAGAAGCACTCATGTGATAGGTGACCTATTGAAAAGTTAAATCAATAGGATAAATTCGTGAGGCACATCTCTATAATTAAGAGTTTAAGTTGCTACATAAAACACAAACACAGAATAATTAGATCAATTTCAAGATGATTTCAGATAGTTCAAGTGAAACAGAATCCAACAAGAATAATAAATGGATCTACAGCTTAGGCACCCCTAATTGCAGAAAGTTGCTAATTAGATTGGAAAAAAAAAGAGAGGGTGAAGGTACTTCCTTCATCATAGTCAATTAAACGAGAAAGTGAAAGCTGCTGAAGTTAGCAATGCATCAAAGAAGCAAAATGAAGAAACTGCTACTACTAATGTTCTTACCTCTTCAATTCCTATCATACTTCTTCTCCATTGAAGGAGAAAGAACTTTTAATACCGCAGCCCTAACGTTCTCCACAAAGCCAATGGAGAGAGCTTTTTGATTTTATTGAAAAGAATGTGATGGGACTCATAATGATGTATTTGTCGGAGAAATTGATTGATATTTTATTAATCGATGGAATCTAATCAAATTATGGAGAGAAACCTAATGGCTTTTTAAGTTAGGTCAGTTTATTCGATTTGATTTTGATTTAATTGATAATTAACAAAGATATTGGATGATGATGACATTTTGATTTTTTTTTTATTTGGATATTAATTTCATCCATTTTAATTTTCCATTTAAAATCGAATAAAAAATCACAAGCTAAAGCATTTGAATTGGCACTCAGATTAGTGTAGCCTAGGGGTGCAACTGAGTCGAGTCGAGTTTGAGCTAGGGGTTGTTCGAGTCGAGCTCCAAAGACGAACTCGAGCTCGACTCATCTCACATCAAGTGGCTCGTCGAGCTCCGTCACGAGCATGCTAGCATCACGCAATCTCCATTGTTGAGCTCCGTTGTTTTGAACTCCATCGTCTCGAGCTGCATCATCCCACGCTCCATCGTTGTGCTCTGTCGTTCCGAGGTTGGTCGTCGTGCTCAGTCATATCATCGTACTCCTACCCGGCTTCGATTCATTGTCCCGCCTGCCTGGTCTCTAAATCTTGTTTTCCAGCAGCCAGAAGGTCACATCTGCGAGCTACTCGACGAGTTGACAAGTCAAGTGGAGGTTTGTTCAAGCTCAAGCTCGAAACTGTATTCAAGCTCGACTCGTCGAGCCTATTAACGAGCAGAGTCTGAGCATGCTCGCGAGTCGACTTGACCAGTTGCACCCCTAGTGTAGCCTAGGTGAATCCATCATGACGTAAAACACTTTAGAATATACTAATGCTTTTTTTTTTTCCTTTTTTAAGTGAGTATCAATAGCGATAATATAGGATACAAAATATACGAGAAAACACACTAAGAGAGAAACTCATGGCTCTACTTAAGCCAGCTAAGATTTTTTTTTGGATACTTTTCTTACTAATTTTTAAAATAGTTTTTCAATACACATTTTTTAAACTATAAATTTTTTCTAATAAAAAATTACTTTATAAAACAATAAAAAAATTGTCCCAAATTAAACCTAAATTTGAGGCTGACTCTTTTAATGCAAAAAAATGAGCAAGTTTCACTTAGGGTATACTTAAAAAATACATTAGACTTATATAGTGAGATTAATATAATTCAAAATATTATATCCAACATAAATCTCAATGCCAATTAAATTTTTTTTGCTAAAATTTTACTTTAAAAAGTAATAAAAAATCAATCTCAAACGAAGCCTAAATTTCATTCCAAATTAATATGACTTTGATCTAAAAGTCCAAACAAATATGGTACCGATTAAATCTTTATTTTGTTTCAAGAAGTGAGAAATTTGGTAGTTTTAACTAATTTTCTATTGTTCATAATAATTTATTACAACTTTCACATTGTTGAAAATTTCAAAAATATTGGACCATTGATAATAAAAAAATAAGCATTTTGATGGCAATTAATTAACATATACATGTAAGAGTATTAAAAAAAAGAATTTTGTTAAAGAACCATTTAGTTGATTAAATATTTATATTCCTTTTAATAAAAAAGAAAAAAAATCAAAACTCCATAGAACCCTTCATTCTAATAATTTACTTAACACATAAATTTTTTTAAAAAAAAAATCAATAATTTTCTTTTAAAAACCATTTTCAATATTAAAAATAATGAAGTAAGTCTGACTAATAATTTGAAAAAAAGAAACTTTAAGAGGAAAAAAAAAACCTACAAGTACTGAATATAAAATTTCAAAGCCTATAAGCTTATTTGGTTCCAACGGTCAAATTTCAAGCAGCTAAATAAAATTATATTAAACTTAACTAAAAAATAATTTACTAATACATTTATTTAGCAAGAATCCTCCAAATTGACTTCAAACAAATAACATAAAAGTACCTGTTAATAAAAGCTAAACATACTATACACTATGGCACAAAAGAGCTAGACATCAGTTCTTAGTTCAACCTCAGCTTGAAGATCATCTCCATCTTGGATTCTCCTTCCTGTAGCATCCACATGATACTGCTCAGATTAATCAAAGAGAAAAGAAAGAACGCAGTTTGAGAAGCTATGGCAAACCTGGATTTCCTCCCATCAGGTGGCAGTCCACCAATGAATGATTTGCTCACTCCATTTGGCCTTTCCTGCTTCTCTGTTGTGCTCATCTGTTTCTGCTTTTGTCATGAAGGTGAAATCTCAGTATACTTTGGTTGGGATTGATTTTCTAGCCATTAGATTTGCATCAATAGGAGTACAATATATAAGAAATCAATCAACTCTTGCACTGCACTCATTTCAAAGCAAATCCAAAGCTGAAATTTTTCATTTTAACTGAGGCTTCGTTTGAGACGACTTTCTTAGTGTAATTTTTATACTAAAAAGTTATTTTAAAAATCAGTAAAAAAATTGTCCCATACTTTGTGAAAAACAGGTCATATCTACAGTAACTCAACTATTGCTAATGAGAGAGTTCAATCAAAAGATGAAAAGAAACAAGTAAATGGAGTTCAACCTTGTAAGTATCAACTTTGATGTTTCCACTCTGTCTCGAAGTATTAATCATGGAGCTCTTTCCCTCATATTTCCTGGTTGTTGAAGCATTTGCCTGCATGTTAGGTTATTCAATTCAACGTTCCACATTGTAATGCTCACAGAGTTACTACGCATGCATGTTTTCTATCCTATTTTAGGCCTATTTGGATGACTTTAGGTAGAAAATATGGTTATATAAATGCCACTTATCAGTTTCATTATATGTAAACTTCTAATTTATTCAAGTTGAGCATTATTGCAAAGAACGGATATATATCTAAATTTTAATTAATATTCAAACAAAAGAAGAAACCCGAAATAACAATGGTTGCTATATCTGAAAGATAATTATTGAAAGAAATAAATGTTTCATTTGGCGGAGAGAGCTGCAGAGCACATACTTACAAAATTTCATCAAGAAATACGCATAAATACAATGCGTCCAGGAAGAGTAAGAACATATTAGGAGTTCTCTTGTCAAGAAGAATCCTAGCAACTAATATAATCAAAGAGATCATTAAGAAAATGTGAAATGGAGTAGGAAGACGCAACATGTCACTCAGAAATAAGAAAGAATGAAGGGGTCGTTCTTTCACTTTGGTTCAAATCTTTAGACTACAAACTAAGGGAAGTCACAAAGAATACAGAGTTGTTAGCATTGACTTGTTAAACCAGCTCCAAATTAGGAAGTTTCTGAGTAAGATCAGACATATGTTGCACCAACACTTCATGTTAAGGGGGTATACATTGTTCGACAAGTATTGGACATCAACACATGCCCGACGCGTGATGGACAAAATTGTCACATGTTCAACAACAACAACTGTCACATGTTCAATTAAAATAAATAATAAAACAAACAAACATGCGTGCTTTGCATTCATTTCATAAAAACTTAATTAACTTTTTATAAAAATCTCACTTTTTCTATTTTTCATTTTTCCATTCTACACTTCTTTTGCAAGTTTTCCCGCCTGAACTTTTCTTTTCTCACACGCTCAATTGGGGTTTGAGACGGAATTGCCGGATCTACGCATCCAACCACTGGCTCCAAAGCTAACTATCGCATACTCGTCTACCAACTTTCTCTCTCTTCTCAAGGCCAAAGCTCGACTCCAAGTCCAACAATCGACCTCTAAACACCTAAACTTAACGTAAAGCCCAACAAGGGGATGATTGACAACTTCTTGCGATACAAATGCCCAAAATCCTAAAAATAAATACTAAATAATCAAATAGAATGGAACTGAATCCTCCAAATAAATTGTCTTGAACTATAACTCTATAAATTTATTACAAAACAAAATATCCTTAATAAAAGAATTTTAATATAAAGTTTTAATTTTCATGCTACGATTTTATTTGTCATTTGTTTAAGTTGTGCTATTTGATATCATGTATATATCATAATGTGTATTATACAATGTATAATAAAAATTAATGACACCACTACAAGTCCAAATTTTATTCTATTTATTTTTGTTTAATTTATAGGCATCTTTTAATTTAAAAAATATTAAACATATAATATCATGTCCAATGCATATTTATGTCATATATTTTCAATAATAGATGTGTCTCATGTCCGTATCGTGTTGAGGATACTAAGATAACCTAATAAGATTTGAATTTTGGTAGACATTAGTTTGATTACATGCAATTTGCTTAGAGGAAAATTAGAATGTTTAAGACCTTCTGAATAGTTTTCTTGTTCATAATATTTAATATTTTCTTTTGGAGCAAACATGGAGTCAATTTTGGCTGTGAAGATAATCCGATACTCTTTTATCACATTTGTTTGAAAAAAAAATTTCCTTGTCCTTGTCAAAAGCATTAATATCACACAACCAAATTTGACCCAAAATTACATACGGGGGCTTTGATAGGGACAAACCACACTAAATTCGATTAAAATGGCTCCCTACCTATAGCAAAAAAGTCAAATAACATGCCATCTGGTAATGAATTATAGCAAGGTTGAGGGTGAATTACAAGTTTAACAAATACAGTGAACTGAATCAAGCATGATTTACAATGCATGAGTTAATTGAATTACTTCCTGTTCTTGGACTTAACATATAATTTGTATATAAAGATGGAACCTTTTTCGTTTTTTTGGTGAGACACAAATATTTCTTCCTTCGTTACCTACTTCCCTCTTTCACCTTCTGTAAGAGATTATTCCAGTGGAACGTGTTCTCTGAAGCTAATCATGATTCAGCTCCAACTTCATCACTAATGCTAACATTTTGACAAAAAAGATGAGATTTTTATGGTGATTCTGCATCCCTTTCAACTCTATAGAGACGGTTTTCTCTCAAATGGGAGTATTCATGGAGACTGGCCACATAATCAATTTTACTTCATCAGTACCATCTTATCAGTGACAAGTGTGCAAGGACCTGAATACAGTGACAAGTGTGCAAGGGCCGCTGCACCGACGCCCGGGTGCAGTGTTAAATAGGCAAGGGTTCCCACATCAAGGACGGATGCGGGCAAAGAAGCTAGTCCATGAAACTAAAATTAGGATAGGAATTTGGAATATAGGTTCCCTTACAGGAAAATAATGAATTAATAAAATATTATGATTCATGGGAAGTAAATATTTTGTGCATACGGAAACTAAGTGGGTTGAGAGAAGGCTAAGGAAATTGATAGTTTAGGATTTAAACAGTATTCGGGTAGGAGTCGTACTAAATGGTGTAGGTGTTATATAGATAAGAGTTTAAAGGATAATGTTATAAAAAATTAATAGGATTAGAGATAGAATTATAGCTTTAAAGATTGTGTTGATGAAAATTGTTAATATTATAAGTGCTTATGCTCCTCAAGTAGGTTTGGATATGAGTTCTAAATTAAAATTTTGAAATGACTTAGAAGAATTAATACAAAAGATACCTCTTGAAGAAGAGTTTTTATTGGAGAATTTAAATGACATGTTGATAGAGAGGTACATATTTTAAAAAGCATTTAAAGTGGCCATGGATTTGAACGACGAATGAAGGTGGCAAGATCATTTTAGATTTTTGTTGCTTATGATTTTTCAATTGCTAATACCTTATTTAAGAAAAGAATGAGCATCTCATCACTTATAAAAAATGGATATAGTACAACCAGATTTACTATTTTCTTTTTAAAAAATTAAATCGTTTAGATTGCAAAGATGTGTAAAGTTATTCCAGTTAAAATTTATGTACCCAACATCATTATTAGTTTTGGACTTTAAGATAAATGAGCATAAAATAAAAATAAAGTAAAACATTTTCTAGGATTAGATGGTGGCATTTAAAGAATATTAACAAAAATATTTTGAGAGTAAGATTTTAGATTTAAGATTTTGTCTTGTGCATAGGATGCAATTTATGGGGGAAAAGTGTCTAGGATATTAAGAATATTGTAAAAGAGGTGCTTTGAGTATCAAAGAAAAGTCCTATAGTAAAATAGTTGGTGGTGGAAATTCAATGTCAAGAAAAGATTAAAAATAAGAAGTTTGTTATAAAAATTAGTTTAATTTTAAAAATTCTGATAATTAGAAAGTATATAAAGTGGCTCGTAAGATTCTTAGAAAGCAATATATGATGCAAAGACATTAGCTTTAGTATTTTATATAATAGATTAAATACTGAGGAGAAGATATATGTATAAGTTAGCCAAACAAATAGATAGAATAGTAAAGATTTAATTCAAGTGAAGTGTATTAAGAATGAAGATAAAAAAATTCTTTTCTTAGAAGATGATATTCAATAAAGTGGATGAGATATTTGTTAAGCTTTTTAATGAAGATTGTGAAAATAAGATTGACTATAGTGACTTTAGCACCCTAAATGAAAATAAAGATTCTTATTTTATCGGGTATTAGTAAAACAGAAAGTTAGAGAGCTTTAAAGAAATGAAGGGTGAAGGCTGTTGGACCTGATGATATTCCAATTGAGGTGTTGAAAAGCTTAGGAGATGAAGAGTTTCTTGCTTACTAAACTTTTTAACTATTTTGAAAACTAAAAAGAGCCAGGAGTGGAGAATAGATGTGTTAATTCCTATTTTAAGAATAAAGGTGATGACAAATTGTACGATTATAAAGGTATTATTAATGTGTCTACTTTAAAACTATGGAGCGAGTTATGGAGCATAGGTTGCGGCGTGTAACTAATGTTTCTTCAAAATCAATTTGGATTCATGCCGGGTAGTCGGACTATGAAGTCATACATTTATTAAGAGTTTGATGGAGAAATTAGAGAAAATAGGAGAGATCTACATATGAGTTTATTGATTTAGAAAAAGCATATGATAAAGTTCCAAAGAAGTGCTATTGGAGATTTCTTGAAAGAAATGAGTCAATAATGCTTATATCAAATCATTAAAGATATGTATGCAGGAGCTATTACTTATGTTCAACACAAGTGGTTTGACCAAGTATTTCCTATTTCGGTTGGGTTACATCAAGGATCACCTTAGCCCTATCTTTTGCTTTAGTCAATGAATATTCTCACTAGACATTTGCAAAGGATGTACTTGTGTATGCTTTTTGCTATGATATTCTTCTTGTTGATAAGACTAGAGAGGGAGTTGTAAGGTAAACTAATTATGGAGTCAACCTTAGAGTGTAAGGTTTTCGGTCGAGTAGATCATATAAACGGAATATATGGAGTGTAATTTAGTAGTAATAGACCTAGTGAGGGATTGTGACTTTAGGCATCAAGTCATTATAAAGTACACGTTTTATAATATCTTGGATCTATTGTTCAGAGTGATGGTGAATAGATTGGGATATATCACGCAGAATTCAAGTTGGATGGTTGAAAAGTGGAGGAATGCATCAGGCTTGTTATGTGATAGAAATATAACCCCCTCAAACTTAAGGAAAAAATTCGTATAATTATGTAGTGAGGCCTGCAATGCTTTATGGTGCCGAATGTTGGCCATTAAAAGAGAAGCATAATACTAAGTTATGTGTGGTAGAGATGATGATACTGAGGTGGATGAGTGGCTTTACCCTTAGAGATAGGATACGAAATGAGCATATACGTGAAAAGGTTGGAGTAGCTCCAGTAGAAGATAAGATTAGAGAGAGTCGCCTTAGATGGTTTGGTCACATAAAAAGGCGGCCTTTCGATAACCCGGTTAGGAGAGTAGATATATTAGATTTGACTTGTATTAAGAATGGTAGGGGTAGACATAAAAAGACTTGATTAGAAAATATTAGGAATGACCTTTCTTTATTAGATTTAAACGAGAATTTGACTTTTAATAGGACACAATGGAGAAAAAGGATTCATGTAGCCGACCCCACATAGTGGGATAAAGGCTTGATGTTGTTGTTGTTGTTGTTGTACCATCTTATCAGTGGGGTCTACAGTTGTCTTCCAAATAAGACAACCTGATGCCACTTTAACGTGTTTCTTTTTTTTCTATTCTACTTCTTATGCAGCAATTTTTTTATAAGCATAAGATTTCTATTTTAACAAGAACAATAATTAATATTTATTATTAACTTTATTGTACTGAGCCCATGTAGTCCATAAATAAAGGTTTCAGATTTATAAGAAATGCACAAAACTAAATGACTAATTAATATTTTACCAAAATACATCCGTGAGTACTCTCTCTCTCTCTCTCTCTCTCTCTCTCTCTCACACACATTGAGTTTATTTCAACTTTCTCTTCCTACTCTGAGATCTGCTCAAATTTTCTCAAGTTCTTTCACCTCTTAACCCTTCCTATCATTGTATTCGAAACCCTGCATCAATTTAGTTTCAAAGCATCTTGTTCATAGTTCTACATCAGGCTCAACCTTAACTAACAAAGGAGAACCTAGCCCGTCTCAGGCAAAGGCTACCACCTGGTTTTGGCTTTGAAGAAGTATTGACTGGGACAGAGATGACATTTTGATGCGTGAGCTAAGAGTTTGAATGCATCCAAAAAGCTTACCTTGGAGCTTAGCCTCATCTATTTCAACAAACATGAATGCCTGCTTCATCCAGCAGGCCTACCCAAAAGTATGGCCACTACCAGAAGATTGAGCAACCACAAGATCAACAACATAAAGCTAAACCTAATTAATCCAGCTAACCAAGAACCTAACCTCATCATGAAAAGTCTACCATGAGAGCCACAAAGCTTGACACTACCAGATTAGCAAACAAGGCCAACCTCAGTGGCCAGTGCAACACCTTAGGCCTTCACCTCAATGGTTTTAAAAATATAACCAACTTGATAAAAAATAGACTATAGCTATTGCAAACATCAAAATGGTTATGGCTTTAACTCAAAGAATTGACCAACTGATCGGTAAGCCGCTCAACACTTACTAGATTAGAAATCATATTATAAAAGATACCTAATGTGGTAATACTTATATATTAAAAAAAAAAAACCTTGGGATTACTAAGAATGCCTGGATGCTTTAATTGGAGTGTAGCTGGATGATGGTTTGGGGAAAGAGTTTTTGTTCTGACATCTACACTATGAAATTTTACCTTTTTGATGTTATCTCCGCCTGATAAACTTCCAGATTGATAACTGATAACCCTATTAGTGTCATGAATATTTCTGGAAGGAAGATTGATAGACCTGAATGCATAATCAAAAACAAAAATTTCAAATCAACATTAAGAAGAAGGCCAATAAAATACTTTTTAAGCAAAAAGATTAAAATCAGAGTGCTTGTCACTGAAAGACATTTGTGATCTAAAACAAGCTTATTATACTTAAATAAGAGTTCTACCTTGTTCTCAGTTGTTCAGTTGCAGCTCTTCCTTTGACAGTGCTGCCGCACCTGCTGTCCAAGCTCTTTTTGAATTCTTCATGGCCCACACTGTTAGTTTAAATAAAATAGAGTAATTAAGCCTTTCAAGAAAATAGCTTAACATTCCAAAAGACGGAAAAAGAAGATAACATAATTAACCTTTTACTCTGTAGTGCTCTGCTTTTAATAGTATTCTGTGTAGCCGTCTCCCTTGATTCTCCCTGCAAGGAGATTCAAATCTTTACTAAAAATCAATGCAAAATCTAATATTTCATTCATTAAAAGAATTTAGGTAGAGAGGGGTAATTATAGTCCAAGAGAAATGTTATTTCCAAATGGATGACATTTTTTCCACGTAGTGGGATAAAGGCTTGCTATTATTATTATTTTTGTTACACGAAATTCTTTCTGAATGTCTAAGCTACTAGATCTAAAAATTACAAAGCAACTAGTTAAAAAAAAAATTGCCTATTTCTAATTTATATATGATTTTAAAGAGTATTTTTAATTTAAACAGAAAGAATGTTTAATCCATCATTTGTCCACAGCAAACATTATCCTACAACAGGAAAGTGAAATATCCATGGGGCATGTCTTAAAAAGAATTAGAAGCGACCTAAAAATAAATCTTATGGAACAATAAGAACAAAACTACAATGGGCAAAATACATTAACATCAAGCCTTTATCCCACTGTGGGGTCGAGTTAACACAAAAAAAAAATACACAAACCAAAAAAAAGAAGAAAATGAAACTTAGGCTTCAATTCCCTGCTGAACCATTAGAGATATCAGAGACTGATCTTATACACGAGTTCCTTGTGAGAAGAAAAATGAAAGCTAGTTTACCTGTACTCTTAAATTTCCCTTAGGATTAAATTTCCTTGATGTTGAACTATTTGAAACTTTTGACCGTGATCTTAGAACAAGTTCACTGCTGTTGTTAGGAATGACTCCTTTTCTTTCTTTGGAGAGAGGGTTTGGTCTTGGAATAGCAACTTTATTTTGTACTTCTGTGGGTGATCGATGAGAAGGAACAAAGGAAGACTTATTGTAGCTTCTGACTTTGTTAGAAGTCTTCTTGCTCAAAGGCATATCCACTTCTGCCTTGTCAATAATATTATGCAGTTGTTTTGAGCCCAGTGATGACTTAATCCTTTCTGGTAATGATTTGTTGACAGATTTTGAAAGGTGCCTAGCTGAAGTAACATTTCCCTGAAAAAGAATGCAGTTTAGGTTATCGCCAAATGCACAGAGAATTTCTTGAAATGACAATATTGTTTGCTAAAGTTCTCCAAATGCTAAAAAATTTATGCTTTAACAGGTAAATTGATATATTCTGCATTTCCAAAAAAACTGAACAATAAAAAATGCATGATTTGAATGTTCCTTGTGTAAAAGCTTTGTAATGCACTCTTTATGATCCTTCAGAAAATATAAAATATAAAATTCCTTCTAGCAGAATCCTTATAGCCTTGATGGTTTATGAAACAATCATCTTTAAAGAGTTTAAATAGATTTTTTCTTTAAAATCCTAGCAATATAAAACAAGAATTAATTCTATTTTAATATCAAAAGGAATGAAATTGGAAGAACATTTGATGAGGACATCGGAAGATGAACGGCTATGATCTAGAGTTTATTTTATTTTTTGATGTGTCTTATGTACTAATTTATTTTATATTTATGTTTTTCTCATTTTACCTCTAGGGGTGGTCATGTGGTGTTGTAGCCCAAAGGGTGTTTTAGTCTTTGTTTATTTTCTTTTCATGAGGCATATTTATTGGCTAGCACTCTTGTAATTTGAGATGATAATTTTGATGAATGAAAATTTTTCCACTTTCGTACATGATCTCTTGGTGAGTTCCTGAGAGGAGTGACCCTTAGTGGGTGAGAGCAATACCCGTCAATCTTGGTGGATAATTTTGATGAATGAAAATTTTTCTACTTTCTTACATGATCTCTTGGTGAGTTCTTAAAAGGAGTGACCCTTAGTGGGTGAGAGCAATACCCGTCAATCTTGGTTGATTCCAAGGTTCGCGGCTCCAAAGTTATTTTCTTCTTTTTCTTCCCTTCACTTCCATCTCCTCCTAGCCATTACCCGCCGGTCAACAAAACCCCATCACCTTTCCCTCACCCCAAAACCCGACTTCCCCACCCGATCACCTCCCCTTGTGCCGCCGGCCTTTCCCTCACCCGTCCACCAACAACCCCAATCACCCTCCCCCGCCGGCCTCCCCAAGCCCTACAAGCCGCCGGCCATCAATCCACCACCCAATAATTTTGAATTTCAAAATCATCCTTAATTACTTCCCTAATTTGTGTCCTCATTAATTTGGAAAGTTATTCACTTAGATTCAAATTCAAATTTGAATTCGAAAACTTTCCCTATTAATAACGTACGTTAGGAAACCCCATAATCCCATTAAAATCTGAAATCAATTTCAAATTTAATGGCAATCCTCAATTAAATCATCCCCGGGCCCACGCATTAAATGAAAACACCTCAAACTTCATCCTATGTGGCCGGCCTCCTCTCCAGCCCCTTTCTCTCCCCAATTCGCCACCTAGACCCTCATTAAGTCCCCATTAAACCTCCCTTGGATGCCGCCCCAACCAAGTCATCATTTGGAATTAATTTGAATTTCAAATTAAAGTTTCCCACCAAGTCTAATTAATTGGTATCCAATCAGGAAACAATTAATTAAGATCCTCAATCAACTTCTCTCCTAATCCTCCTAAAATTCAAATTTCAAATTTGAAAGTCCCCAATGCTCTCTTAAACAAAATCTGAACGAGAGTTTCAGAATTTTGTTCCCTCTCTCCAACACCTGCCGCACTTCTTCCCTCCCTAATCCATTGAATCCTCCCAACAGCCTTCCCAATTCCCCTTCCCAAGCCTATCCCACCTCCAGCCGCCATTCCCAATCATTTTCCCACGATTTCTCCATGCTCTCCTGAGATTATTGATGCCAGTCTTTTGTTTCCAGCAAAAGGAACCTGCTGATCTATATCAAAAAAGGCCATATGCTAGGGTGCAAAGTACCCAAGACCACATAGGAGCTGTCCAAGTTATTTCCAACAGTGCAGTTTGCTGTCCAGGGAAAATCTGCACCTGTTTCTTGTTGTCCAGCCAATTGGAAGGTCTTCAAACGCTGTCTGGACGTTTCAGATTGTTGACCACGCCTTCAAGAAGGTTCATGGATGCCACCTACTTCCTTCCAAGCCTCCCTACAGCCACCGGAACTTTGTATATTCCGATTATTTGGGTAAACTCTTCTCCAAATCTTTTAATCTCTTAGTCGCTACTCAAGTGTGGTTTAGAAGTGATTCAGGAAGGTTCTTGCCATTCTCTCCACTAATGCCTAGAAGTTAGAAGAGTTGAGTGAGGGGAATCTCTTAGTGACTAAACTCATTGTTAGTTTAGGGATTTTCGTTGAAACCCAACCACATACGCAATGTTAGATTAATTGATTGTTTTACGATCTTAACTCCTATACATGTGATTTAGCCTAAGCTTGTTTTATCGTTTTATTGATTTATCTTAGCGTTTAAATCGGCATGAGCTTTATTTATTATTGTTCTCGAAATATTAAGCATGCAAATTTCCTAAAGCAACTCACCTTGCCTGTACGTTTCACATCAACATTAGTCAAGAAAAAGAAATGCTATCAAAATCATAAATCAATTATTCATCACAGAAACATCTAGGAGTTTCAAAATACATGTACCTTTGACATTGGAACTGATGTAAAGCCATCTTTAGGCTTACGGACAATCAGCTTATTTTTCTCCAGCACAGGATTGTCAACTGGTACAAAATTTGCTTCTACAACATTTGAAACTGTAGGATCAGTCGAACATACTAGGGGGGAAGAAATTTGCACTTGGATGAAATTATTATAATTTTCTTCATTCTTGACTTCACAGTGACCACTATGTGGTTCAATAATTTCTTTGGCTGTAGCAACGTCAACGGATCGAGATGCCACATATTCATGCTCAAAAGCAGTACTGCATTCCTGCTCAAAGGTTATTTCAGCAGTAAGGTCTTCCAATGGGGCTTCGCTAATACTTTCGGGCATTTCATTGGGAATTGTGCTTGGAAATGGCGGTTCATCTTCATCCCCAGTTTGGCTGGAGATGCTACCATCAGCACCATATTCCAACAAGAGCACAGTTTGCTGGTTCTGCATGGCCTTCAAAGCCCGAACCTTTTTGTAATATTCCTCAAAGTAGGCCTTTTTTTTGGCCACCAAACCAGGAGATTTGAATTTTTCGAGCTCTTCCTGGCGTTCATTGTGAGTAAAAACGGATCTTTTCTCCCATGACAATGTCTCCAATGCAAATTTTCCAAAAGATATTGAGCCATGATCCAACATTTGGGAAATAGAAGGACCCTATCGCAGAAACAAATGCAACAATGTCAAGTTAACTAGAAAAATAGCAAGTTAAGGAAAAAATGTCAAGGCAACCCCCCAAGTAAAAATGATGAGTAAATCTGCTTCAATAGGATGTCAAAAGCAATAGGAAGAACACTCTATTCACATAAAAGCTCTCCCCACCACCCCAACCCCTTCTTAATTCCCGAATGAATGCAGCTGTGACCTAGGCAAGTTAGCAAAATTAATTTTAATAATTTTGCAGAAAACTTAAAAGGATCAAATTCTGCTTTGTAATTGAATCATAAAGTGAAGCATTATTACATGGATTTTCGGAAATTTATGCCCCCCCCCCGCGCTGTGACCTAAGCAAGTTAATAAAATTAATTTTAATAATTTTGCAAAAAACTTAAAAGGATCAAATTGTGCTTTGTAATTGAATCATAAAGCGAAGCATTGTTACATGTATCTCCGGAAAAGTATGCCCCCCCCCCCCCCCCAAGTATGCCTGCCCCACCCCCCAAGGAAGATGTTCCGTGATAGACAAAAGACAAACAAAGAAAAAACGAATGGTTGGAGGAATCAATCCTTATTGTTGCTTGTGAGAAATAAGATTCTTGAAATCCCCTTGTGCAATCACTTGGAGAACAAGCAATGAATTAGATGTAATAAATAGAAGTAATGAAAGAGAAAGATACCTGAGAATCTTCTTGCTCATGCTTCCATTCAAAATAAGTTTTCTGAACATCACTAGCCATTTTGTATGAAACAGTTCCTAGTGATCCATGGCAATTTGACTTCCTAAAGCCATCATGCTATCTCCCTAAATTCCGTAAGTAAGAGAGGCAAAAAGAACACCTGTCACTACATCAACTTCTGAACCATTTGAAAAGCTTCAAGGAAGAAAACAGAAACAACAATGATACCACATTTCAACCTAAAATGAAACTCTAATTTTAGAAAGTTGAAATGTCTGAGTATTGCTGCAGTACTGTTTAAATGCCTAAGTATTGCTGCAGTACTATTGAACCGGAGAAAAAAATAAGGTAGATAACCATGAGATGTAAATTTAAAATAAATACATCCCATTTCAAAACAGAAAAAGAAAACAATTTCTGATAAAATTAATATAACACAAAAAATTGTAATTTTTTCAAAATAACAGCTCTGCAATTTTTTCGTTGACTAAGCCCTCTTGTTCATAAATATACACTTGGAACAGGCTCTCAACACATGGAAAAAACCTAACAATTTATACAACCAAATATTTCAACCTTTTGTTGCATTGAATCTCAACTAACCAAACAGCCAAAGATTAAACCTGAACCCAAAATAACAGCAAAAGCTATGACTTCAGCCTATCCTCCACAAAAAAAAAACAATCAAATGGGAATGCAACAACAATTTTAATGCCAAGCAAGGGCCTAATAACCATAGGACCTCAACATTAAATCGCAGACCAATTTCCTCCGAAGCCTTGCAGATCAACCCCATTAAAGGCCATCCCATACACGATGAATTATTTGTGCAGACACTGAACGCCGTCTAGAGCCCAATGAAAATGCGCCACGTCACCCCCTACTCGGTGCCGCGGCTCGGTACTACTCAGTACCGAGCTCGGTATTGCTCGTTACCAAGGTCAGTACTGCTCAGTACTGGATGATGTGGTTGCACCTGATTGGTCTTTGGCCAATAAGTTGTGTCCGGTGTCACAGAATAATCTCTCCCCATACACAAACATTCTCAAGACACAAAGCACATGCCAGCTGCTTATGCATGTGAAAATTGACAGATGATTAAATATATGTGCTACTGCAGCACGCCACATGCCCTCAGCTTCCCAAGGGTGGCCATGTGCTTCTGAAGTCATGAGCCGGCGAGGCATATATCCCATCCCTCATCTAGCGGAAAGATCCACCTTTTCATACTATTAAGAATGCCTCCAACCACACCCACCACTCTACTGCTCGTTTTTTCTTTTAAAAAACCCTCATCCGATCACCAGAAGAAAAGTGAGTAAAAAGTATTGAGCCGAATGGAAAAAAGACAAAGGCAAAGAACCTCTTTGCTTGTTCCAAGAAACAGATAACTGAAAGAAGCAAAAGGGTAAAGGACCCACCTTGCCATTTCACTGTAGACGTCACAGTTCCAACAGATAAGCTCAAAAGAAAAAAGTAATCCCCACCGTTGCTCGGAGAAGTGGTGATGGGGAAGAAAGATGAACTTTCTTTATTTTAAAAGAAATTTGAGCTCATGATCAATGGTGAGTTCTGGTACTTTACACAGCAAGCCGAGAAGCAGGGCCCATGAGTTGAAGACTTCACAAAAGAGAAACGCCGACGGATAATAAACTAGCAAAGAAAAATAAAAGCGAGGCTTTGACAAAGATTTCTGGATTCCCCATATCAAACCTCTTGCCGCTTTCTTTCTAATTAATTTAAACCAAAATAAACTAGGTCAAATCAGAATTCTTTTCCCTCCACTATGATCTTTATATCACATCCCAAAATCACAGGCTAAGACCAAAAAGTAAGAATTTAGTTCAAATCTTACATAGTCAACTTTCTAAGTACACCGAATAAGGTCAAAGAAAATGAAAAGCCCAAGCCCCCGGATCTTATTTCTCATGTTTCAGATCCAAAACCAGGAAAAAAATAAAATTAACTTGATCTGAGAATAATTTCTTCATCAGAGTTCTTACAGTCTAAACGTAAAATTGTGTTAAAATCCAAGCGCGTACCTTATGCTCCGACGAATCCCCAGAAGAGAAAAGTAAAAGAAGAAGAGCATCAGAAGTTGGAAGGCGCAGTCCTCAGAAGAAAAGAAAAGCTGCAACTCCACATTTCCCCTATAGCTCAAGGAAGAAGAGCCGTCTCTCTCTCTCTCTCTCTCTCTCTCTCTCTCTCTCTGTGTTTCTCGCTGGTAGTTTCGGCTTAAGAGGGACAGCAGCCGTTGTGACAGAGAAATTCGAGAATGGAGGGCTAAAATACAAAGAACAAAAGAAAAATAGATCTGATGGAGATAGAAGGCCGATGGAAGAAGCCACTCACAAGAAAAATAACAGCCCAAATAAGACGCGTGGCAAGACTGTGATTATTGATATTTTAAATTAAGTTGACTAACTTTAATTAATTTAATCCATAACTTCATTTTTTCTATATTATTTATTTGATTATATATTTTTTATTTTTAATGAATTGAGAAATAATTGAAATGATTTTACTAAAATCAATCATATATTATAAATGATATCATTTGGTTTATCGAATCAAAATTGACTATAAATTTATAAAAAAAAAAATTCATATGGTCTTATAATCTATTGAAAAAATTAAATTAAATACTTAAATATTTTGAGATATACAATTGCATTAAGATTCGTGCTAAATCTAGTGAATTTTTTGGGAAGTATCATATATATAATATTAATATGTGTGATATTGCATGTAAAATATAATTAAGCAAATTTAATCCTCTAATAAATAAATAATATATATCATAAATTTAAATTAATTTATCATATTAAATATTAGCTTTAAGTACAATTATCAGACATTTTTCTTTTTAAGCTCTTAAGAATATCTGTAATGAGCTCTCATTTTTCTTATTTGTGAATTATTAAATAGAAAAGTCGCTGTTAATCAAAGAGATTTATTGCAATATTAGACTTCCTTCCTTTCATTAATAAATACATCTCTATCTTAAGCAATGACTTTTTCTACAAGTGGACATATATTGGATGCAAAATAATTATGTCTCTTTATTTCAATTACTTTAAAAATGTTTCATTTTGAAAGTAAAAAAGGACTAAAATCTTTTTTGTTAATGGGAGGTGTCATGTGACTTGCATAAGTGAGAAGATGATACTTTGGGAAAGAGATACGACGAGGGTCAAAGCTTCATCAGCTATCGATACTATACAACTGCTATATGATTCTTTAATCATCATCTTCTAACTATCGTAGTCTGTTTTCCATTATCTAATCATTATCATCTGACCAGCATTATTTCACTATCATCATCCGTCCGCCATCATCCAACCACCACGTTCAATCAATCATCATTGTCTGATTGACATCGTCTGTCAGTTGCCACACCTTCTCTCACAATATCTATTTGATCAACCATACAAATTGAGAAGATAATTACAAACTGCTCCCATACAAACATTCACTGCATTTTATTTAATAAATCAAATATACTTCATCATCTTGAGAAGATAATTACAACTGCATTTAAATGGAGAAGGCACTTCAAGCTATGGTGTTGAATTTACCATGGTTAACTGCATACAAGCATTTATCAAATATTCATCTTGATACATGCTACAGTAGTACAGTTAGTTGCATACAGGCATAGAATCATATTGCAGGATCTACTATGATTCATTGCATAAAAATATTCATCAAACTTCAAGTTTAGGTATATGATTTAGGCTTCATTTGGAAAAACTTTCTTATTGCTTCTTAAAGCAGTTTTTTAGTTTTAAAAAAATATTTTTTCACTAAAAACTGCTTTAAGAAGTTGCAAGAAAGTTGTCCCAAATGAAACCTTCATTACACGTATATGCTTCCACATAAAAATTCTTTCTAGAGTATTCATTGTAGCTGCAGTTAATTGAACATTTCAGTATCAATGTTGATAGCCACTTGAACTTATAGCTAGTCCATGGTATGCACACAAAATTACTTGCATCTTTGTTGAATAACAAGAAAATGCAAGTTTTAAGAGATGGGCTCTGAATTCTCTTTAAGAACCTTTTCTCAGATCCAATCTTCCTCTTCTTGTCTGATCCCTACTAAACTCCATCTTAAACATGCCTTTTATAGAACAGAAGACAGCCTACAAAAAAGAACAAGAATATCAAACCAATGAAGATTTTGATTAATGGTTTTTGTTCATTGTAGTCATGAGGAAAGCCTCGAGTTAAAGATCAAGTCAAGCTGTCTATTTGGGGAAATTTGTAACAACATAAAAAATATGAAAAAATATCGCTTAAGCCAAAACTTCTTGTTTAGTGTGATTAAAGGAATGCATTCATTGTACTGATTTATTGTTAATGTGCTATTTTATTGTTATTGCTATATATTTTTGATATATCATCAAAAAATCAAGCTGGAAACTTCATAATTTAATCCGGGATCATCATAACTCTGATTTCAACAAACTTACAGTTGAACTGAACGTCTCAGAAATACAAACCCAACGACACCAAATTCGACTCAATCTGAGCCCAAATGAGTCAAAATCAAAGACCCAGAGCACATTTAGAAGGTTCAAACATAATTTGGATTACCAAACAGTTTCCAAACATGACAGCTTATAGTCTAATCGAGCGGATCAATGAGAAAAAAATCTAACGAGCTCAAGAACGTTGAATTCTGATATCATTAAGACATTAAAATGCCAATAAATAATCCACGATCAAGAGACTCAACATCGGCCATACATTCAAACTACTACCAGTTTACCCTTGATCTTCCTCTTATTTACTGGTCATGCAACTCTCGGAAAACTATAAATAGACCCCATGTTTCTCATGGAATGAGACCCAAGAAAGAAGAGAAGGAAAAGAAACTTGAATTATCTTGCCACCAGACTCCTTCTCAACTACCACCAAACTTTCACCCGGCAACCGACCAATGCCGGACTTCTACCCGACCGTCGACTGACGTCGGACTTCTCTCAAACTTCTAACTGACGTTGAACTTTCACCAAACCATTAATTGAAGCCGCATTTATGCCCAACCACTAAACATCGTTAGATTTTCGACCTCCGCTCGTAACAGGATTATTATAATTTGATCGTCCCCGATTTCAGGGATGAGTTAGCCACTTGTAATCTAATCATACACTATTAAAATCATTTCAACTAGGCGTGGCCCCGTGATTTTTTTTCTTTTCTAGAGTTTTCCATGTAAAAATTATGGTGGCTTTATTTTTCTTTTTTTGTGCTGGATATCAGTACAATGCTAAGATGAATATTCATAACTCTATCGTTGCGTATATCTTAGCCAATAATAGTATGGTACCGCCTGTGAGAAATTAAATCCCACTATCCTAAGTATTACTTCAATGGCCAACAGGCATAATAATTGCATCTTGGGATCTTCCCGCTTCAACATCCATCAATTCAGGAATCAGTCTATGAATCATGGATGTCAAGTACCTGACTCTTTTTATCCTAGGGGCAAAAATTGCTGGATAAGAAATTTTCAAGACCTTCCTAAGAAAAATATATTCAACAGATGGAAGAATCTCGAAATGAGATCCTTTAATTTATGTGAGAGGCTCGGCAACTAGCGCTAGCACAATAAGAGGAGGTTCTTCTCCCTCAAGATCCACCACTAGCCAAAGGTGTTCAGCTCGAACATCTTCACGCAGAGATTGCTCTTCCTCCGCCAAAGAGGCATCTGCAATCATATCAAGACAACGAACTTGTTAACATAAAAGGTTATACCCATCCTTTGCACACAGGCCGACAACCTTGCGTTACTCTGGATATCCTTGAAGACTTAGCATGGTCGTATATTGTTCAGCTCCCTCGCATTGCCCTGCGTCATGAACTATGATGATTGGTCTGATAAGAGTTCCCCATGGGAGGTGAAAGACAATCTCTTTATTTGTGAGATTTCCAGGAGTCATCACCCCTGACTAAAGCCAGTCTTCAATACCCCATTCCTGGAAAATTCAAACTATTGAGCATTTATTCCTATGACAGGACATCTGACCCGTACGAGCATATCGATCACTATAGAATTATCATGCATATCCAGCGAGCTTCAAACACGTTCATCTACCAGGTTTTTTCTACTACCCTTAAAGGAAAAGTTTGAATGTGGTCTTATTCACTTCTATCTGGAACTGTAAAACTCCTAAAAAGTTCATTTTTGTGAGTGTTGTTAGTCCGGGCGAACTGACTTTAGTACGGGACGAACAGAAAAAAAATTGTGAAGAATATGTATGGTTCATCTGGACGAACCTGTACGAGCCGGGACGAACCGTCGGGACGAAATTTGTCCAGAGAGCAAGTCGTCCAGGGACGAATCCATTTCGTCTTGATGAGATTTGTCCAGAGGGCAAATCATCCCGGGACGATCCTGTTTGATAAGTATCGGATTTGAAATATTTTGGAATCATTTTGAAGAGAGAAAAAAAGCTGTAGAGAGAATGAGAAGGAAAGAGAAGAGGAAAGCTTGTGTGGACCTCCGAAAAGAGCACCGCGCGAACGGGTCGATTGGAAGGGCAGATTGGATCGTGCATACGACTAACCATTGAGGATAGAGGCTGACGCCAACACACCTCGATGGATAGTAATATATACAGCCTAGTCACGGGTTTCCCCCA